CGAATGCTTTCAGTGTGTAGATTTTAGGGTTTAGGTTCAGGGTTCCGGGTTTAGGGCTTAGGGTTTAGGGTTTTGATTTGAACATCCCTTGATTAAGGAATACACTTTATTTAATCAGAATAGAGATCCTCCCACAATTTAAGGTATACTTGTTGATTAAGGCGGATAAGGGATATTGGATTCTCTGGGTTTAAGGTAGGGTTAAGGGAAACTCGAAGAGTCGCTGCCCCCTCAGATTCCTATGGGAGTCTCGGCAGACGCCTATACTCGAAACACAGAAACCACTGGGTTTTTGTGGAGCGAGTCTATTTAAGTTATCATAATAGGTTAACTGGGATCTACAGTAAATAACAGGGTTTGTTTCTTATGGCAGCTTAAATTAAACCCCTTAACAAGACCCTAAACCATGCTTCAGACTTGAAGAACATCCATCAACACCTCCAACACCTATACAGTCGAACCCTCAACCCTAAACCTGATCGACTGCATGTCTCCGTCGTACACTCAGATGCCTCAACTGCCTGAGTAGACCTTAAACCTACTGAAGCTTGGTACGCTTTTTCGACTGTTCAGTATATTCATGGAAAGACGCCAAACAAGAAGGGACCATAGGCACTACTGAGGGCCAAAACCCAAAACCCTAAACCCCTGAACCCTTAATCCTAAAAAATATGGGCGGTTGTCAAAATTAGCCAGAAAAGGACCCTAATTTTGACAACCACCGATATGAAGAAGGACCCACTAGAAGCAAGCACACGGCTTTTCACTGAGTCGACGTCGCAGTCTCTCAGATTTCACGTGCTTTCACTCACGTGGCTGTGGCTGCAAAGTATCCTATGGAGGGCTTGGGTGTAAGGGGAAAACGTCGTGCTAGATGTCGGTACCTTACTTTAAAATGTATAAGCAATGAGGACTACTGAAATCAAGCACAATATAGGATTATTGGCAGATGCTGTAGTGGCACCGCCGCAAGACGCTTTAGTTTGGAACAGCAGTTCAAACCTAAACCCTAGACCCTGAACTCTGAACCCTGAACCCCCAAACCCGCAACCCTAAACCCCAAACCCCACACCCTAAACCCCAAACCCTAAACCCTGGACCTTATAAACCCTAAACCCTAAACCCTAAACACTAGACCCTAAACCCTAAACCCTAGATTTTAAACCCAAAACCCTGAACCCAGGACCTTGACCCTCAGATCCAAGCCCGAGCCCGTGAACTCTGAGCTCTCCGTCCTACACCCCAAAGCCTCCTCCCTAGACCCCAAAAGGATTACCTTTTAGGGTTCCCTTAAAGGGGATCTATAGCGGCTTATAGGGTTCCCTTAAAGGGGATCTATAGGGGCTTATAGGGTTCCTTTAAAGGGGATCTATAGGGTTCTACTGTCAAGGGAACTCCAGAAAGTTGGAATATGGTTTCAGGGTAGGATACCTTATAATTTACCATAAAGGGTTTAGGATAACCATCTTCCAACTTTCTGGCTTTTACTTTAAACCCTAAACCACGGTTTAGGGTTTAGTATTTAGGATTAGGGTTTAGGGTTTAGGGTCTAGGGTTCCTATAGTCTCCATTGTAGTTCCTTTTGGGGTTGAACCAGCTCTATACTTAGGATCCTATAAGGTAATCCCCAAAAAAGGAAACGCCATGGACACTATTTGTAAACCCGAAACTGCAAAGGTTTCGTCTCCCAACGTCGACAACTGTGGAGCGTCTTGGCTCGGGGGTTTGATCGAGGTATCTGGGTCTCAGGAATGCAAAAGACTCTCAGACTCGGGCAATAGAGAAATGTACCTTAAAACAGATCAAGGGCGCCAAGCCCTGAACCCCTATACACCCTAAACACCCTGAAAGCCCCCAAAAGGTGTTTAGGGTGTAGGGTTTTAAGCGTTTAAGGTTTCAGGGATTCAAGGTTTTGGAGTTTAAAAGGGTTTAGGGTACAGGATGTAGGGCTTTAAGGTTTACGCGAGAATTGGTTTACGAGGCTGTCTCCAAACCTTAGGGCTTACCCTAAACCCTAAACCTCTGAACCCCAAACCCTTAAAACCTGAACCCCCAGCAGACCCCAAACCCTGAACCCCCAAAGCCCTGAGCCCTCTTAAGGCTTACGCGGCCGCAACCTCAAATCAGAGCTGTAGGCGATCGCCTCGGAGAATGCTTTCCACTATGGCGTGCTTCAGATCGTTTACGGCAGAACTTCAAGGGTTTCGAGTTTTAGGATAGAAAGTTAAAGGGCTTTGGGTCGTAGGCCTTTTTTGGATTTTACGGGCATAAGGTTTTATGACATGGTGCTCTTAGGGCTTGGACATTTTGACTTCGGGGCCTGGGATCTTAGACTTCGGGCTTCACGGTGGGAGTTTTCGCTCTCTTTTCTGTAAGATCCTTGGCTGAATATCTCGGGATTCAAGCTTTTTTGGGGCCTGTGTGCTTACAGTTTACAGGCTTGCTGCTTCCAAAGGACTCTCAAGGATTTATGTTCACCGGCTAGGGTTTACGCAAGGATGCAGGATCAAGGAGAAAGGGAATAGGACCAATTAAATCACCAATACTATTTCCTTAATATATGTAATCATATAGGTTTAATATACCCCAAAAGCCTATTCCAACTATTAAGGCCCCTGTATCAGGTTCGCTGAAGTTCTTGAATGGAGCTTAGAAGTGGGCAAGTGGGAAGCACAGTCCCAAACCCTAAACCCTAGACCCTAAACCCTAAACAGTGGGAAGCACAGTCCCAACCTAAACCGAGGCCCGAAGAGTTCAGGCTGTCATCCGCAAGCCCAGGATCCTACCTGTAGTCTCCATTGTGCTCCTTTTTTGGGGTTACCTTTTCGAGTCCTTAATATATATATATATATATATATATATATATATGCTACCCCCCCTCATGTATCTACTGTTTGTCTGTGTTGGCATCATGTTGGTGCTACACTTTGTTTGCTTCTAGTCTTTAACTGATACGGGAGGCGGCTGTGTGATGGTAACACTGTGATTCCGAAGTGGATATGTACTGTATGGCTGGTCCAAATGGCTGTGTAGATGCAGTGGATCCACGCAGTGCTGACCTGATTCGCATCGTGAGCATGTGCATACAGCAGACATGAGCGAGCATGTTTTCCAGACCACAACGCGAATGAGAAGATGCGGGGTAAATGGACTCACGACCAGCGCGAATGAGAAGATGCGGGGTAAATGGACTCACGACATGAATTTCTTCACGGAGTCCTGGCAGAGATGTCCGGTGGCCACCCACAAATCGTCAGTGCGGTGCCAGTATTCGTACTGGGCGCTTCTGAGCTTGGCTCGAAGCAATGCACTGCCACACTTTGTGTGCTGATTGACGCGAACACGCTCCTTCAAGAATCGCCAGCACCGATCTATGATCTGCGTGCCTGATTTGACATTCAAAGTCTTACCCTTACCGCCGGGGAGCTTGTGCTTCACAATGCGCACATAGTGTGGTGCCCGCCACGTCCATTTGCCCTGAATCTTGACCCTCTTCTTGCAGTGGACAACGCGGTCATGCAGCACGCCAGAAACCTTCAGCTCGTAACTTTTGGCGGAATCTGTGTGCAACACGACCTTGCGATTCATGAGCCACTTCGCCGCCAAGCCCTTCCATTCGATCCTTCGAATGCCACCGGGCCCAGGGGTTCGCTTCACTGTGATTTTCGGCTGCAACTTGTAGAGGATCAAGGTTTCGGGCCTGCCGCCGCGCTGCACGATCCCCGCCCACTGCTCCCACATGATGGTGGCGTTAGGCGACTTGATGAGGTGCTTGAATTCCAAGCAATTCGAAATGTCCCTTTTGTCAAAAGTCGCTTCATCCGCTTCTACATCAACCCATGATTTGCCATTGCCGAATTGGATAGCCTTCTCCTTGCTTTCCACGTGCTCTTGCCGGAGTTTGCAAAGTTTGCGCTCCACATCCTCAATGGCTTTGTGGTTCACGTTCAAGAGCATGTGGATAATGCTTTGCGGAACTCTGTGGAGCTTGAGAAGCAGCAGAGCGGCTTGGGACTGTAGAGGTTGTGATTGGAGACCTTGCCCTTCTGTGAAAAGAGGGTGTAGGTGATGCGGGTTCATCCATAGCTGACACGCCTTGCGACCGCAACGATGCTTGAGTTGACCACTGCGTCCTTCCACCTTGAGCTTCGAAAGGGTTCCCTGGCAACAGAAGGGGCACGTTTTCCCTTCCCATTTGGGCAGCAACTTGTCTGCAATGAGGATGCGAATGATGTGGGAGTCGGATGCCTTGATGAGTTCTGGCGAAGTCCTCTTCCATTTGATCTGATCCTTGCGTTGTCCGCGTGGTTGGACTCCGTTTTTGTCCCTCGTGTAAGCAAGGTTTTTCCACAGGCTAGACTTCATGATGGCCGGCCGCTTCTGGACCAGGCGCATCTTGCCTTTTTTGGCAACGACAACAGAAGGAGCACTCTTGCACATGTTGTATGCCCGGTGGAAGATGTTGGTTGGTGCTACGAACAAGACTACTGCACAAGCGAGCCAAAACTGACATGATTGATGAAGCAACGGTTGCCATGCAATGCATTGGGCGCGGGCACTGAGAAATGCAAGATAGAGACGATTTGGACGGCCTTGTTTTTCCAGCACCGTAGCGGACTCTAGCGAACTGCATCATGGCATCAAAATCTCCCGAACAGCACTACACGGTGTGTTTCATGTAAGAGTGGACGACTACGACAGTGAGTGTGGATGCGCGTGTTATGGTATAAATACAACCTATAGATATATAGGTATATGTAGAGTCATAATCCTATGAAATATAACCGAATATGTAAATAGGTACATACAAATTTGCAACATTGCGACACCACTCTACATGGGTAGACTTCATATAGGAACTAAAACATGTACTGTGGAGACGAATGTACTGTTGCGGGAGTGACCCCCTGAATAACAGCTTTGAGAAGGTATGAACATGAGCTTCATGGCATCAGATCTTGTAGTAGGCGACCAGTCTGCGATATTGAGGATCAGAACTCCTAGTCTTCCTCCATGTACCTTTCCAATTCTGCCTCCAAGTCGTCCATGGGGTCGACTACATCACTCGCGACATCCATTTGGCTGCCTGGAGAAAGGACAAGCGCAGCCGATGCCTCCGCAGGGACAGGGTCAGAATGGGAGGGACTGTGGACGCCAACGGGCTCAGCATGAAGATCGACAACACCTGCTGCATTGGAAGTGACCTCTTCGGGCATTTCCGCCTTCGCGTCCGAAGTAATTGCCGTCTTGGAAACCTTCTTGGGGGGAGAGCAAAGGTCGATACACTGGCCGGTGAGACGACCAGTCAAAGCTCTGCGAAACTGGAAAGACTCTTGCTTCACAGCGACCGCCTCTGGGAAGGGAGGTGCCACCCTTGATGAGTTTGCTGAAGTAGATGGTGCTGGCAAGTTGCGAGGGGCGACACTTCACGACGAGGGCTTACACCACGAAAGAGACGACGAACGGCATCTGCATTTCGGATTGTTGGTTTGGGCTTTGGCAATGTTTTGCCATTGAGGAGTGCATCCACATAGCTCGCCTCCCATTCCACGTCCTTCTCGTAAGACGAAGGTTTGGAAAGCTTGCCGTGGAGATACTGGTGGTACTTTTGCTGTCCATCAAGCTTGCGGTAGTCCACATGACTTTCCATCGAGAGACAGGGCACGGACTTTTCATGCTGGCCTGCCTCCCTGAAAACCAGGAGCTTGCCGATGTTCACCAAGATGTTTGCACGCTTCAAGACCGCCATGATGTGTGGTGGAGGTGTGTCGTTGGGAAAGACAGGGCGGATCACCTTCAGGAAGTCTTCATGGGGCATGTGAGAAATATAGTTCCAGACACCAGGTCCTTGTGGGCTTCCACCCAAGCCGTGGTGTCGTTGTCGTTACAGACAAACACCCGAAACTGACCCTGCACGAACTTGGCTGCCCCCCAACGTTCCTTAGTCAACATCGTGCAGCCTACATCTGTGAAGCCTTTCATCTTGCGAATCGGCTCCTCAGCAAGGCGCCCATCGTCATGTATATCTGGGCGATCCTTGCGGCCAGGTTGTCCGCGGAAGAAGTCAAATTCAGAGGCTTCGCGAAAAGAAGGCGGTGATGTCAGGGAAAGTTGACGTTTCCAATAGCGAGAAGCGCACAAAGCCAAGATCCTTGCCAGTGGCGTCTTCCCGCTACCTGGCCCACCCACGATGCCTGCAGCTCGGGTAGTCATGCTCTTAATGATTTGGTTGATGCCAAAATGCAGCGCGTCAAATTCCAGGTCTGCGAGACTAAGGTAGAAGTCCTCTATGGGCAGGGAAAGAACACCATCTGTTTGGATAGCCCGAAGCGATTTTTCAACCACTCCGACGGGCCATTGATAGATTGGTGAATCCGCGTTGATGTTCTGGTTCTTCGTGATCCACTGAACCCTTTTGTACTCACTGGCGAGGTGGGCCGCCTCCTGCTCGATGAAGGCGAACCCCTTGTCGATGTCTTCTTCACTCAGATCTCCCAAATGGAAACCACCACCTGAGCTCTTTTGCTGATGTGCGTACGTGGGAGAAAGACCGAAGAACCTGCATTGCCAACCTCCCAGCTGTTCAAGAAACCATTGAAACCCTTTCTTGAAGTCATAGACGCTGTGGCCTTGCCATTTTAAGCCATAGACTGATCCGTAGCAAAGTTTGTCAATCACGTCCCTTGTCAGCTTCACGTCAGGAGCTTGCACATGCTTCAGGACGCACATGTTACCGTTGTCTTGCGGGAGAACTACGAATTGGGTAATAAGCTTGACATCCATGACAGTCTTGGGACAGAACGGAGCAGGAGCTTGAGACCATTTTCCTTGGTTGACGACAGACTCGATCATCTGCTTGTTGGGTGGCGGTACATCCATGATGACATCAACAAAGTGCTTGACCATGCACTTGTCTGGAAGGGCAGTCATGGGAAGATCTGGAATACTGACACCGCCGCAGGCCTGGTCTGACCGTACTGCATATGGAAGCGGCCTGGATAGGTGCATGCCGCGGGTTGCGTTGATGCCTGTCGTGCAGTCCGTATTACCATCACGAGCCGCCATGGGTTCTGATGAAGCTGAAGGGATTGCTACTTGTTGCTAACTGTTCGAAATCCTCACTGCTTCGGTGGTAGGACACCATGGCATAATGCATGAATATGCACACCACGCCACTCATAGTGCAGACACAATGCATGCGCACAGCTGTCTTTTCGCATTCGCGAAAGTGTAACAGTCTGAGTTCACTGCGTGAGTTCTTTCAACAGCAAGGCATATTCGAACTTAGCTAGATGCACTTTCACAATCGCCAAAGGGCATCAGTCTGAGCTCACTTGGTGAGATCTTTCAGAAGCAAGGCGTATTCAAACTCGGTGAGAGGCACATCGTCGCCGTCTGCGTCCATGGAGAAACAGATGTCCTTGCATCTCCAAACCACGGTGCCTTTGATGAAAGTTGTGACTGGCATTACAATCAGGTTGAGTCTGACACATCACAACACATGTCAGCTGAAGTCATGCCCAGATGCCGTTTGCAAGCGTGCGATAAGGACGAAGATAATGAGTTGGAGCAGATGGTACTTTGCGTTGGTCTTCTGGCACATGGTCGAGCACGAGCATCAGAATGTCGTTCGCCACATGGCGTGGTAGATTCTTCCATATGGAAACATCGAACTCCCATTGTATCATGACCATGTTGTGTCAGAGAGGGCTACTGAGCTCAGAACCACGTCAGTCTGCGCGCCAATATGTCGTACACGTGCACAACTGCTTCAAGAGTACCACATACCGGCTAGATGATACTAGTAGTAACAACTACAAACACGAATACGAGTAACTGCTATCGTAGTAAATAACAATAGTAATAGCTTGCTTTCACAGGATAGTCTAGAATCTAGTGTTGGAGTCACGAACCAGCCATGCGGTAACATGCCCCTAGAGTGGTACCAATCGTTTATCATTTGACAAACAACAATAATGAGATCAGCAATATTATGCAGCACACCGAAAACATGGATAAAGCCAATGTTTAGTGCATGATGAATGTCAAGAGTGCCAAAACCATTGCTAAAACTAATGTTCCCTGAATGATGGGTGTTATAAACATTGGTAAAACCAATGTTTGATGCAGGCTGGATCTCAAAATCATTGGTAAAACCAATGCTTCGTGAATGATGGATGTCAAAACCATTGGTAAAACCAATGTTTCGTACAGGCTGGATCTCAAAATCATTGGTAAAACCAATGCTTCGTGAATGACGGATGTCAAAACCATTGGTAAAACCAATGTTTCGTGCAGGCTGGATGTCAAAACCATTGGTAAAACCAATGTTTCGTGAATGATGGATGTCACAACCATTGGTAAACACCAATGATTTCCATGATTCCTTTCCGGAAACATTGGTAATACCAATGATTCCAATGATTTCCATGATTTTCAATCTATCTGCCCGCGGTCGCTGGGGAGATTGCCCAGAAATCATTGGAATCATTGGAATCATTGGTAAAACCAATGTTTTCGGTGTTTCGTTACGCAAACACTGGCAAACCCATAGCGACAACAACAGTAGAGACAACACAACAAACGAAAGCAGCCATGAACGTGATCCACGCTGCTTGTAGTCATAGTGCAGCAAAGTGACCTGAAGCAGGACAAGAGACAAACGGTAGATACATGAGCGGGGGGGGGGGGTACCATATATATATATATATATATATATATATATATATTTATTTATTTATTTATTTGTTTATACATGTGTGTATATATATATATATTGATATTGACTGGTTAAACCAAAAAGGAACTACAATGGAGACCATAGGTACTAACACAATCGTGATAACGAACCGTGGACAGCCCAACTTCCTCCGAGGCTTGCGACAGTTTTGACCATCTACCTGCGACGATGTCACATCCGTTTACTTTGAGCCGTTTCGGGGATCAGTGACAGAGATACCATTAGACCCGAAAACCCTCAACGTCTTTAGCGGTGAAGGCTTCCCGAAGCCGCGCACGAGACGTCACGTCTTTTCTCGCCGAATTTGCCCCTCAGGGGCACGCACATGCTGGCTCGGCGTCTTGAACCCTTGCAAGACTCGGGCATTACCCAGAGACTCCAACCAACAGCCTCAAAACTCCAGAATGTTGACGAAAGGCTTCCTCAATAAAAGATGTCTGATCAAGGGATGTTGGAGTTTCTGGACACCTTTAGGAGAACCCTCGTCAGCATAACCTGCCCCTCCGGGGCCCGGGGCACACTCAGGCACACATTCGGCCTTCGCAGAGTAACAGTCGGAAGCTCGCAACATCCTCCCGCACATCTCAAGCCATACCCCTATGTACGGTCTTAAGAACCTGCCAGATGATGTTAGGGGATAGCAATAAGCTCGAGTTCAATACATAAGGCAAACGAGATACTGAGACACCTGAAATTTTGGTAGTGGCTACACCAACACAAGCGGTCGCAGAACCAGCAGCCTACATGATCCAAAGGCGGCGATGGGTTCAGGCTATCGAAAACCCCCTGCACGTAAGCTCTTTCACTGCTCCGCCTGGAATCTGAGTCCCCTGCGGAGTTCAGAGCAACTCCTTACCTATAAAAGCTAAGACCTAACTAAGCCCTACACCCTCCCCTAAACCCTAAACCCTTTCTCAAACCCTAAACCCTAAGTCTTAGACGGGTAATTCCACAAGGCTGAACTGAACATCGCCCCAAGAGAAGGTGCGAGCTTCGCATAGTCAGCTTCCCAGGGCTGATGTTTCGAATGACAAGAGTGGAAAGAAATCACAGTGCGATCTTCAAGCATCACCGGAACCGGTGCGCTCACCTGAGAGGCATACTCGGATTTGCATCTCCGGCGGTGCGTGTTTGGTCAAGAGTGCAGTGTCCCGCGAAGAAAGGCGGAAAGGGATCTAGGAAAACAACTCGTTGAAATGTCTGAAGCTTCAGCAGTGTCTTTGGTCCAAAGACTATGTGTGAGAAACTTGAACCTAAAAGTTGGCGAAGATGTACTTCAAATGCTCGGTCAAGCCAAAAACCCCATGACCAAAAAAAGGCTGGTAAGTGAGGTCCCAGAAATGCAAAACCGAGCCGTGCTTCCGTAGCCACTTGGGGGGGGTTGGGGTATAGGACTCCCTGTAGCTCCATGTGCCCATGCATCACGCGCGTAAGACTTACAGCGGTAGTGTGCGTGTGTGTGTGTGTACATAAATAAATAAATATATATATATATATATATATATATATACATATATATATATATATATATACATATATATATATATATATGTATATGTAAAAGTAAAGTTAGCATTACGGCCAACGTCCATATCTATGCTGTTTTGCTTTATTGGTTAAATATTTACGCCACAGTATGCGTCGAGGGCACATGGAACCTGAAGGAATGTTAAACAACTCCCCACTGGGCGATTTTGGAGGCGCAAGATTTAATCAATGCCAGCTGCAGTTTCTGAAATGAAGAGGATCCAGCCACGACGTCTGAGTCTTGGCTCAAGAAATAAGGATTTACGCTTCACAGATAGCGGGTTCACGGTTCTAGGAACGAGGGTTCTCGAGTCTCGAGTCAACCCGAAGGGTGACCTCAGAACCATAGGTGCTCTCAACTGCACCCCTCAACCCCTAGACCCTAAACCCCCAATGCCTTGTCTGCTGACTGCTTGCATAAACCCCCCAATGCCCTAAACCCTCCTAGACCCCAACCCCTAAACCCCTAAACCTCTAAACCCTAAACCACCAATCCCTAAACCCTTAAACTCCTAAACCCTTAACCCGTAAACCCCTAAACCCTAAACCCTTAACCCGTAAACCCCTAAACCCTAAACCCTAAACCCCTAAACCTCTAAACCCTAAACCACCAATCCCTAAACCCTTAAACTCCGAAACCCTTAACCCGTAAACCCCTAAACCCTAAACCCTTAACCCGTAAACCCCTAAACCCTAAACCCTAAACCCGTAAACCTCTAAACCCTAAACCACCAATCCCTAAACCCTTAAACTCCTAAACCCTAAACCACCAATCCCTAAACCCTTAAACTCCTAAACCCCAACCCCTGAACTCCTGAAGCCCAAAACCGCAACCCGCAACCCCGCGACTCCAAACTTCCCCCGGGAGCATAGCGGGAACGAGCGTACTTAAAGGGATCTATAGGGTTCCTTAAAGAGATCTATAGGGTTCCTTAAGGGGATCTATAGGGTTCCTTAAAGGGATCTATGGGGTTTAGGGTTTAGGGTCGGGTTTTAGGTTCATGGGACTTAGTAAGTACAGTTTTAAGTACCTTAACTGGGGGACATAACCAATTATAAGTATAGTTACCTTATTTATAACCCTAGTTACTAAGTACCACGAACCTCTAAGTACGAATCCCTGAATTTCTCAATCCTTGCGTCTGGGGCTTGGTTCGGGCTTTTGGTCTTTAGGGTTCAGGAGTTTAGGGTTTAGGAGTTTAGGGGGTTTAGGGGGTTTAGGAGGTTTAGGGGGTTAGGGGTTTAGGGGTCTAGGGGTTTAGGGGTTTGGCTCCGAAAGTATGTAGAATGACGGCCTTTTCGAGCCAATAGTTTGCCTACTTTCGGAGGTCTACGTAGGGGTTTCTGGTTCAAGGTTCAGTTGAGGCTGTAGGATTTGGGGTATAGGATTTTGGGGTGTCGGGTTGAATCAGGGTTTGTCTTGCAGACATCAAGTGCCATGTGAGTCAGTCCCAACGGAAAGCCCAAGCGCAAATAACTACATCCCAGGTAGTATCAGCGAGACCCCTTAAAGGGGACCCTTCTTAACGCTGCTTCTGGCTGTCTGAAAAGGGGACCTTATTGAAAGAGTCTATATCTTTAAGGGTATCCCTCATCCCAGCTCAGACTACAGAAACCTCGCTCAGCCCTTTGGTGCTAGAATCAGTGAGCGGGTTTAGGGTTTAGGGTTTAGGATACCATGCCCATTCTCACTTTCTCCAGGCGTCGACAGGCTGTGGGCTGTGGGCCGATATAAACACGAGGATGCAAGATGCAAGGGCGAGGCATTCTGCTGCCTGTGGCTCGCTTATCGAGACCCGCAATCGAGACGCCTTGGGCTTCGACTTTCTCTTGACAAGTCGTGGGGGCTTCGCGGCTTATCGTCAGGCAAGTCAGGGATTAGAAGGTCCAAACAGATCCAAACCTGGCCCCTTGGGGAGACCCAGACTCTTTGGCTTTTCGGATGAAGCCCAACGTCTCCAGCAAGCAGGCCCGTGAGAAAGGGCCGGGACCCCATTCTCTAGCGGCCCCCGCAGACTTCCTCTGCGATTTTGGGTGCAATGTCCGATCACCAAGCGGGAGAAGTAGCCCCTATAATGTGGCCGTAGGGATATGGGAGTTTCCGAAAATTAGGGGGTACATTATTTTGTGGTCCTTATAAGAGGGATCCTACTATTTAGGGTACTATACTACGGTCCCCTATTTTCGGAAACTCCCATATCTAGGAATCTAGGCTTCTGTGTTTCTTGGGGGCTTTGGGTACTTACAGCCCTAGCACGTGAATCACTGTACGTACTTCGAATTTGTCCGCAAGACTCAGTTCTGCTATTCTCAGCACCCTCCGCCTTCGAACGGCATTGGTTTCCCTAAACCCTAAACCCTAAAACCCTAAACCCTAAACCCTAAAACCCTAAAACCCTAAACCCTAAACCCTGAAACCCTAAACCCTATATTTTTGGTAAAGACGTGAGGCAAGCCAACGTGTGGTACGGGGAGGCCAGGTTCCTGATTGAAGTCTACTTAGAGGGTCATGGGACTTAGTAACTAGGGTTATAATTATAATTAATGTAACTATACCTACAATTACTTATAACCCCGATTAAGGTACTGATAACCTTACTCACTACTCACGAAGTCCCATGATCCTCCAAGTAATAATTAAGGCTTCGTGCATAGCCCCAAGTCCTGCACCGAACCCCTCCATTCAAAGGGTGTAGGCTCAGGAGTTCGTCATTTCACATACCCGTCTACTTTTTTGTTGGGGGGGGGAAATATATTTACCAAGAGCCTACCATCACCCTCAACCCTCATCTTTAAACCGTAAACTAAACCCTATCCCATCCTATCCCCTAAACCCTATAAGCTCATCCCTAATCCCTAAACATCATGATTCTGAGGCCGTTTGGGATATGAGAGGCCCCGTCTCATGTTGCATCCCCGGGTATCGATGTGGAGGTGATCGGGGGAAGGTCTCACGATGTGAGAACCTGCAAGGCCACGGGGGTGTGCCGAGCCCTCCCTCTGCCATAGAACGGAGCTTGGGATGGAAGAAGCCCCCAACGGCGGGATTTGCTTGAACCAAACTTCGAAGCTACTCATATCCTATATGCCCTACCGTGGATCATTCCCAGAGTTCTTCCTTCATAGGGCTTCGGGCTTCCGGGCTCAGTTGGCAACAATGCTCCTCAGGGATGGTGTATTATCTTCGGATTGAGCTGGCGCTTCATGGATGTCATCTTTTATAAAACTAAACACAGAGATCCCAATACCCCTTAATAAGGAATCGACCTCAATTCATGATGTTGAGGCCTCTTTGGGAATACTCTTAAGTAAGGGGTATTGGATTCTCTGGGAATCCCAAATAATCCCTGCAGCCCTAGCTCAAATTTTGGGGATGGGATGCACTGTAGGTTGCCAAACCTCAGTGCTGTCAGTTGCACTTGCGCACCCGGGCCGATGCATTTAATGATCAGAACCAAGTACTGGGGTAGAAGGACTACCTGGGGCAAATGCTCTCACTGACATCCACCCCGAGTCACACTTCAGATTTTGGCCTTACCCTCAACCCTGAAGCCTAAACCGTAAATCCGAAATTGGTCAAACTCCCACTTGGCAGAAGGGACTCTGTCGACATCGTGTCAGAGCACTAGCTGAGTGGCGCCACAGCATCCGTATGGTCCTGGGTGCTGGTAGGGCAGATTGTCGATTCTGACTTTATTTGAAAGTGCCGTAAGAACCCTAAAGTAAAAGCCAGAAAGTTGGAACATGCCTTCAGGAGGATTAGTGCTAGGACCCCTCATACTTTACCTTAACGGCACGAGGAGAATGATGTTCCAACTTTCTGGCTTCTACTATAAACCCTAAAGCACTAAACCTAAAACCAATACATGGAAGTTGCTGAAACCTTCACGGTTGCTCTCCCAGTGAAGATTCCCACAGAAAGCCGTCAGCTTCAGTGTTTCGTGAAAACCGACTGGCGCATTAACATCTTCCAATGGAAATACCAAGTAAACCATCACCATAAATCCGAAACAGGGCTTCTGGTTTAGGGCTCAAGGTGAAGCTTTTGGTTGAAGCCGGTCGAAGGTTTAGGGTTTTGTCGGGAGGAGGGTACCCTCGTTTGAACCGCAAGCTGTGCCATAAGTTTTCCGATAGAAAACCCTGCTGCTGCCACATTTTACGGCAATATGGGAGTTTCCGAAAATGGGGGACCTTAATATAGTACCCTAAATAGTAGGATCCTTATTGTAAGGACCCCTATACAAGGCACCCCTATTCTTCGGAAACTCCCATATTCTACTATACGTGCTTTTTTTGCAGGAGTTCATCAGGGAAAACAAATGATTTGTTGTCCCTTGATAGGGCCCCCTTTTTGAACCCGGAAACACCAAGATTCTAATCCAAACCCTACACACCGCAACAAAACAAAGACCAAAGCTCAAAACCCTAAACCCCAACTCCAAGACCCTCCAAAACCCGAAACCGAAAACCCTCAACCCTAGACTTTATCGTCGTGTGCAGCACCTCCACGCTGCTTCCCTGGCGCCGGCAGCAGCAAAGGTACCTTTGGGACGTTCGCTTGCATGAGAGCTCAAGGTGAAGAGTGTATAAAGGTTTCAAGGCTTGGCTGACCTCTGAACCCCTCCAAAAAGTTAAACTTTTAGGCTCCTTATTGTGGTTCATATAGACACCCAAATAGTTAAGTCTAAAGAGCCAACCAGAAGAACGCCAAGTGAAGAGTGTATAGAGGTTTCAAGGGTTGGGCATAGGTTCCGGTTCAGGATTGAGGGTCTTTTTTTAAAGTGCACTAGCCCCAAGGATTGAGGGTTTAGGGCATATAGGGTTTGGGTTTACGGTTCAGAATTTAGGGTTTTGGAGTTGAGGGTTTTCTATGGTTAGGGTATGGGACTTTGAATTTAAGGATGGCTTCGTTTCCTTTTCTGTGTGTATGTGTTTTGTTTGGGCTGGAGGGGCGGGGCCTTCAATTTGTTCGGACGCGTATGAAACTAAACTTTAGGGTTTAGTCTATACAGGGGCTTCAGCCCTAGTATAGAAAGCCTAAACAACTACCAAATCTATTCTTGAGGTTCCGTATTATAACAAAACAATACTATACCCCAAACCCTATTCTAGCTACTAAGGCCCCTATATTACAGTATCCTTACAGGTCCCTTGTAGACCCTTGTAAAGGAACCCTATTCTAAGTATTATTAATTAAATTAAGGCCCCTCCATTAACCCTTTGTGCCAAGTCACCGGAGACAGCTGCCTTGCTGGTCTAAGCTGGCGTTCCAACTAAGCAGGCTGCTGATTCGGCTGTCCTTGGGTCGGTCATGTCATAGGGACCCTTAGGGCGGTAGTGGGGGAGGGGGGTGGGGGACGATAGTATAGGACTATACTTCCTAGGGCTTATTAGGTCTTCATTATAGGCATTAAGGCCGCCTACCCCCGCCCCCCCTACCCCCCTGGTCCCTGTGATCATGCTTGTTCTGGCTGAAAGGCCTTAAAAACAGCATCCTTTGTTCAAGAACCCACCACCACACGAAGAACAACGAACGGGTTGTGACTGTTGCAGCAGCACCAAAGCACTACGAATGACAAGCCTATGACTATGATCATGGTTGCTTAGCGCTCTGCACCAGCAGCCACAGCAGTCGCAGGAGCACTCGCAGGAACAGTAGCAAAATCAGCAGCAGCATGGTAGTGGTACGAGTACCAGTATACGTACTAGTAGCAGTAGTAGTAGCAGTCTAGTAGTCGTCGTCTAGCAGTAGTAGCAGTAGTAGCAGTGGTCACAGTAGTAGCAGTAGTAGCAGTAGTAGTAGTAGTAGTAGTAGTAGTAGTAGCAGTAGCAGTAGCAGTAGTAGTAGCAGTAGAAGTAGTAGTAGCAGCAGCAGTTTGCAGTAGCAGCAGGTAGTTTCAGGGCCTCCGCGGAAGCTGACACCGGTATGGCTTGCATCTCGGAGTTGAGGGGTGCAGGTGCTCATGTCGCACCCACATTGGGGAAAGCAAAAACCCGCCTTGTGAGGGCCCGCAAATGAACCACCAACCTTAAACCGGCATGCTCGTAAACTTACCGAGCCTAAAGCCTAAACTTGGCCCCATGCCTTTATTTCAACCTAAAAACCCAAACCCGCTGGCCCTGAAGCCTAAGGCCTTAACCCCAGATCCTAAGCCGAACACCCTAACCTAAACCCTAAACCTTATTCAGCCGCAAACCCAAAACCTCGTACCCTACAAGCAAAACCCGAGGCCCCAATCCCTAAACCCAAGGCCCCAAGTCCAAAGCCCTAGAAGGCCCTTCCTTACCCAAACCGCTAGACCACTAAACCCCCAAACCCTAACCCCTAAACCCCAAAACCACCAAACCCCTAAACCCAAAATCAAAAAAAAAACACAACAGAACCTAAAAATAGGGAACCCTAATGTAGTACCCTAAATAGTAGGATCCTTATTACAAGGACCCCAAAATAAGGTACCCCCAATTAGCCCAAGAATTCTTAAGCTCGGTCCATAGCCCAGCAGCTCTCCGCTGGTCACGGCTAGGGCGATGCCCGACGTCTGCCTTCTCAATAACAGCTTCTAGACCCTAGGTTTAGGGTTTAGGGTTTAGGGTTTAGGGTCTAGGGTTTAGGGTTTAGGGTTTAGGGCCTAGAGTAACCTAGGAATAAAAAGGGTGCCCTTTTTGGTTTAAAGGGGCTTATAAGGGAACCTGAAACCTTAAAAAGGCTCAATAACAGCTTAGGGCTATTCGACCTTAAGGATATCTTAATCTACCCTTAATAGGGTCCTAATAGGGGTCTTTAGGGTCTAATAGCCCATAGTGGTAACAGCTTCGTGGTCAATTACAGCCAAACATAGCAAAAGGTGGTATTAAGGCAATATAAGATAGTATGAGCTAGCATATAGAATGGGATGGTACAGTTTCTTAACAACATGAAATATACAATGGTATTTTTGGGATCTGACGGATAGGGGGTCAGACATCTTACTTGGCGTAGACATCGCGACAACAGATCTCCAGAGATCCCAATACCCCTTAATTAAGGAATATACCTTAAATCATACTATGAAGGCCCCCTATAATTTAAGGCATACTCCTTGATGAAGGGGTACTGGGTTCTCTGGGTCATTAACACGAACAGCAGCCAGGCTGCAAACTTCTTCGTGTTCAGTCCTACCTCTGAGTCGCTACGAGTATGTTTCCTCAAGGGTCCATGTACCTGAATAGTACATACCTATAGTCTCCATTGTAGTTCTTTTTTTGGTTAACCAGTTTTATGGTTAGGATCCTATAATAGAGATTTTGGTTAACCAAAAAAAGGAACTACAATGGAGACTATAGGTATACTTACATTGGGCTCTAAATACCTTTATAGGCAAGAACATTGTATGAGTGGTGAGGTGAGGAATTGTAGGTCAGCTGGCATTCATACTGCAATACATAGTCAAGACGTACTGTACTGCACGATGATTCGCAGGAGTGCAACCAATACATACATACATACATACATACATACATACATACATACATACATCCATCCATCCATCCATGCATGCATGCATGCATGCATGCATGCATAATAAATATACATATATCTATGTTGCACACACACATTTATATATATATATATACCTCTACGTATATACATGACAATGATAGATTCGATGTCACACACACACACACACACACACACCCCTGAGCCAATTCCTAAAACTTATGTAGTCCCGGAACTCTAAAAGCACCATGCAGAATCTCAACCTATAAACTCCATCTAGACCCCGAACCCCACTCAGACCCTACGCTTGCGCTCAACCCTGAAATCGTTGGGCAAAGAAGGCCTCCAGGTCGTTGATCTGCACATCCGTTAAGTCTTCCACCTGCACCGGCTCGGTTTAGGGCTTCGTTTAGGCCAGGTTGTTGGAGCGTGGAGCCTTTTCGGGGGTTCGGGGTATGGAGCTTTCGGGAGTGGGGTAGGGGCTTCGGGGGTTGGGGTTGATCGGGCATGCGGATCTTCTGCGTTTTACTTCTTCTGTGGTTCGTGTCCGTGTCGTGCTTGGTCGCCTGGTATCTGTTGAAGCAGGATGTTCTCCGTTGTAGCCACCACGGCTGTTTGCTGATGTTGTCAATGTTACTAACTTGCAGCCCAGGTGGTTATGCACGCAGAGTGTGTCAGTGTCGTTGCTGCTGCTGCTCTTGCTGCTGATGTCGGTGCTGGAGCTGCTAATCTCTTCCGCGCCAGTATTACCAGGCTCTCCTGCCCTACCCGGATTACAAACTGAACAAAAACTGTTAGGGGTCCGAAGTTTCAACGTGTCCATTCTTCAGTGCTGCCTTCTAACCCCTGTGTTTTGCAGCCCGCGGACCCTTCAGGCGTCGAGCCTCGCGGCAACAGCAACCAAGTCAGAAACCCCCTTACTCTTGGAAATCGAGCCCCGTAACATCCTTTAGGCAAAAGCAGCTAAGTAGGATACCCTTATCGTGCTAAACCTCCCCGTTGGCCTATATGTAGGGGCCTCAATGATTAGAACAGGGCTTTGGGGTATACTGTACTATGAATATAATGAACCCCCAAGGTAACTCTTAAGGTCACTTTTTCGTGCACTGCTTGATGATACTGTACATCAGAACAAACCCTTCCGGCCTGCTGCGTGTTGAGGTCCTTGCAAGCTCACACACCCGGGTTTCCAAGAATGGATGGTTGCAGAGCTTGTCAGAGGTTTAGGGTTTAGGGGGCTTTATGACCAGAAAAGTGTTTAGGGCCGTGAAGACTCCGAACGTATAGCTTTCCAGTGCTCTCTAGGGGCTTTGGGTAGTTTACAGTGAACCCCAGAAAGTTGGAACATGGGTTCAGGATGGACGTGCTGGGATTCACTTTTCTTTACCTCAAGGGCGCCAGGACAATGATGGCCCGACTTTCTGATTTCTACTTTAGGTTCTTTGGGCTTCAGGGTTTGAGGTTTTGGGGGCATCAAACCCAAAACCATAAAACCGTAAACCTTACACTCTACTTAGTTGCTGAGTTCATAAGCCCCCGAAAAGTGTACACTTTTAGTTTTAGAGTGGGGACCTTTATCCCAAAAAATGTACAGTGTATCCACTCAGCTACTAGGTCTACCCTCAGCCCTGAACCCTAGATTTTAATTTCTGAACCCCCAAGGGGTCGACTGCGGAAGGCTTGGGGGTTTCAGGCGCAGGGTTCAGATTTTGAGGATGTTGGGCTTTGGGGTTTGGGATTTAGAGTTTAGGAGCTCGGTTCAGATTTTTAGGATTTTGGGCTTTGGGGTTTTGGGATTTAGAGTTTAGGAGTTCGGGCTAGAGTTTATTGGTTCTGGTGTCGAAGGTTTTCAGGCCTAACTCACGGCCCTGGGTTGATATCCTGCAGCATGACAAGATTCCCAAGAGCCGCGGTTTGCTGCCAGTTCCGCAAAGATTAGGCCCGGAGGTTTTTAGGGCTGACGGTTTAGGGCCTAAGGGTCCATGTTGCCAAAGCGTATCTACTTCGGCCCTAGTAACCTGAAACCCTAGACCTTGAAGTTACTACACGAAAGATTTTAGCGTGGAGCGCGTCGTTTTAGGACGTTCCGTTTAGGGTTGAGGGATGCTTGGGTGTTAACGGTGTTGAGGTGAGGAAAAAGGTTAGAGTTTAGGGTTAGAGTTTAGGGACGGTCCGAGAGTACGTCTGCACATCTTTTTTGCAATAACCGCATCATATGATATAATATGGCATAGTGAAACCTAGTATACTACTATATCGCAAAAGACATTACCTCGACAGGGCCACATCGAACAGACGCCGTCCTCCACGACCATTTGGGCAAAGTATGTCGCTTGTTGCCGCATCTCCTTTTCGAGCCAAGCTGTGGGGGTAGGCAGCATGGGTGCAGAAACCCCTGAACCCTGGTATCGGGGCCTTAATGCGTAGAAAAGGGCTTTGGCTTCTTCCGCAGTGTCACGATATAGGGGCTGCAAGGGAGTAACATTAATGAGTAATCATTCAGAACCCCGCAGCCTTTGATGTGAAATCTCGACCTGCCCGTGATAGTGATCGCATTGGCCTCTAACATACACAGGTTCGCAGGATGCTGAGCAACAAATGAGCTGAGATAGGGTTTAGGGTCTAGCGTCTAGGGCTTACAGGCTCAACCCAGTTTAGGAGTAGGAAGGCGTCTGCGGCATATCGGTTTTTAGTACTGGCACCTCTCCTGCTTGCGACTGGTACCAACTATATCTTGGACTCTCGCCAACCAACAGAATGCCTAGCGTCTTAGCACAAGAAAGGACTGTCTTCCCAGTCTTGCCTGGCTGCCTCGAGCTGTCAACTTTCTCAAGGAGACATGAAAGCATACCGGCTAGTTTACTTTAAGGGCCTTAATAATTATAATTAGAATAGGGCTTTGGGGCCCATGATACTATAAGTATAACACGGAACCCCCAAAATAGTATAGGCAGTGTAAGTCCTCTATAAGCTTCTGGCACCCGATGACTTGAAGCCAAAAGCAACTGACGGAAGAGTCATGAAAATTGATTGGAAGGTCGGGGGACTTAGTAACTGGTTATTTTATGGACTTATAAGTGTCATAACCCCAATTAGGGTCCCTTTTAGGGTACTTATAAGTCTACTTACTAACTACTTGCTACGTCCCCCGACCCCCCAAGAACCAACCAAAACCAAACTGTTTTCGAGTCATGGGGAGTTTCCGAAAAGAGGGGAAACTCATATGGTACCCTGGATAGTAGGATCCTTATCATAAGGACCCCAAAATAAGGTACCCCTGTTTTCGGAACCCCCAGTTATGAAAATTGGAGGGAGCCGAGAAGCCCACACGGCTCCGATGCACTCGCAGAATGCTTCTACCTCCGCGCTGGCAGAGCTTAGGGTTTAGGGTTTAGGGTTTGAGGAGCTGCTACAGGTTGAGAGTTTGGCCAAGTTCAGAGTTTGGGCTGCCGGCTTTGAGGCTCAAAACTAGTATTCTAGGGGCCGTAACAGTTAGAAAAGGGCTTTGGTGATCTTCAATGCCATCTTTACGCTTTTGTGTTGCTTGACATGTTCGGGCTGGTTTGAAGTTGTGACCAGTGCATTTGTATGTGGTCGTTTGGCCTGGCTTGGTCCAGGTTCGCTTGCTTTCAGGGGGGGCGGGAAGGTGCCGGCTTGCCTCATCCTCCTCATGCATAACTAGCACAGAAGCGATCCGCATTGTTGGTAACCGGTGAGGGCAAAGGGCTTGCAGCCCCCACCAAGTAGAGAACGCGCACTTTCAAGCCAGTGCTCAGAAAGCAGAGTCAAAGTAACTATTTCAAGCGTCTCTCTGAGTCCGAAACCCTGTGCCCGAAAACCCAAAACCCGCAAGTCTCGAAACGTTCTCCACTCGGGGAGACTGTATGCCAGGTAGCAGCAGTCGTTGCTTCGGGGGTTCTGCAGGATGGCATGGATACTACAAACGGGCTACCAAAAAACTACAAGGGTCCGGTCCAGACCAACAAATGAAATGCAACAAAGTACTACTATCAAAGGGGAAAAGGAGGGACCCTTAATGGGACCCCTACCCTATAATGGGTTATATAATGGGTATATAATAGCTATATTATAGGGTATAGACCTAGGGGTCCTTATTAAGGGTCCCTCCTTTTACCCTTGGATACTAAAAGGGCACACGAAAGCACTCATAAGGGCACTCCAAACTCCGGGTCCGAACCCCAACAAGCCCCCGGAACCTCCAGAAGCCCCAAAAATCTACGTATGGGTGGTTTGTCAAAACTATGGTCCCTTTTTGGGTCCTTGTTATAATACGGCACCTAATATGCAAGGTACACCCCAAAAGGTACCCCAAATTTTGACAACTACCCATATGTTGAAGTCGAATGCCTGGCACTGTCGCGCCTCAACCGCCACAGACCTCCCGATCTCTTTTGCAACCATCCTTGGAGGCTGAGATGAGGAATGAATAAAGAATTTCTGTTTGGCATTGCTTCTCTACCTTTTTGCAACAACTAGCCATGTCAAGAAATTCGCGTTCTGCCTCTATTGCAGCCAGTAGCACTTGAGTGAATGTTGGTCGTCGTCGCAGTGGTAGCAGTAGTATTTGTATTAGCAGTAGCAGTAACAGTAGCAGAATCGATGGCAGTGGCGGTGGCAGTAGCACTAGCAGAAATTCCAAAAATGAACGCATCGAAACCTTTGTGCCAAGAAGCTCACCGACATACAGCCAGGGGGTCCACAAGCAAACTTCAGCTACCCACTGCTCATCGCCTTGCATGGCGTCAAGGTTGGTGCTTCGGGTCATAGAACTGGATGTAGGGTTAAGAATCCGGGGATTGGGATTTAGGACATGGAAACCCTAAACCCTAGACCCCACACTCGGGCTTAGGATTTGGGGTTGAGCGTTTGAGGATTTGGATTTGGGGATTGAGGCGCAGCGGAAGCCGGAATTAGTGTAGGTTTCTACGGCAGATACTCTACAAAAGTCGAGCAGGCTTACTGCAAGAGACATTGAAAGAGGTTCGAGTGTTGTAATCTAGCCATGAAACAGAGCCATTGCTAAAGGCGTCGACTGAAAACGAAGTACCGAGGGTGTAGCTGTTTCAACGAAATACAGACCAGAAGCACCTAAACCCTAAACTTACCTTTGGTTAGTAGGGAATGGAGGAATGGGGTACAAGTATAACTATTACTATTACTACCATTTTTTCATTCCCTACTAACCAAAGGTAAGTAAGCCAGCCACTGATGCTGTCAATTTGTTCCAGGGAGCTCTGTTGCCAATCACATGATAGATTTCTTGGCTCCAATATCCCTGCAGTCAGCACCCCTGCTACTACTCTGAGCGAATGGAAGGCTGCAAATCAAAGGCATCAGCTTCAAAGGCATCAGCTTTCCAAACACTGGGATGGGACTTGCCTTCTTCTATCGACTTGAAGGAGTAGGTTTACAATTCACGCCTCGAGGATGAGCCAGGATAGAATTCCTCCTGACCCACTTTAAACCCGTTGTCGAATCGCTTATGGAACCCTTTATCACCCCTCACGTCCTTGCAGAATCCTTGATAGAATGCCTGAACCCAAAACCCCTAAAACAAAAACCTGAAACCCTATAGAGACCCTCTAGACACCTCGTAGTAACCTTATAGAACTTTGTAGGGAAAACCACCCCAAACCCTAAACCCCTAAATCCTAAACCCCTAAACCCTTAACCCCTAAACCCTTAACCCCTAAACCCTAAACCCTGAACCCCTAAACCCCGAAACCTAAACCCCTAAACCCTAAACCCCTTAACCCTTAACCCCTAAACCCCTAAACTCTAAACCCCTACACTCTTAACTCCTAAACCCCTAAACCCCTAAACCCCTAAACCCGAAACCCCTAAACCCTAAACCCTATGAAAGCCTCGCAATCGGGCCGAGCATCTGAGAATGAAGCCCTTCATCCGCCGCGTGTACCGGAAGCGACCGCCTCAGCGAGCTTCTTGCTCCCCACTTAGAGGTTTAGGGGGTTTAGGGGCTTAGGGTTTAGGGCTTGGGGCTTAGAGGTTTAGGGGGTTTGGCTTAGGGTTTAGGGCTTGGGGCTTAGGGGGTTTAGGGGCTTAGGGTTTAGGGCTTGGGGGGTCGGGGGACCTAGTAAGGGCTCCTTTAAAGGGGATTCTAAGGGTTCTTTTTATAGAGCTCTATAAGGGTAGTATAGGGTTTGGGTTTAAGGGTCGGGAGACTTAGTAAGTAGCGAGTAAGTAGACTTATGAGTACCCTATGGTACTTAGAAGTCCCTGAAATAACCAGTCACTAAGTCCCCCGACCCTCCAAGCAGAGACTCCGACATCCCTAAATTAAGGAATACACCTTACAATTAGGGAATATACCTATAAGTCAAGGAATATACCTCTAAGTTAAGGAATATACCTATAATTCAAGGAATCTACCTTAAACCATATTGGGGATTCTACTATAACTTAAGGAATATACCCAGAGAACCCAAGAGCCCTTAATTAAGGAATATGCCTTAAATTCTGGGGGGGCCTTAGTATTATGATTCAAGGTATATTCCTGAATGAAGGGGTATTGGTATTGGTTCTCTGGGTACCTTAGACTATATTAGAAATTCTACTATAATTTAGTCTCCAGTGTAGTTCCTTTTTGGGGTTACCTCTTAGAATCCTGAATATATAATTGGTTAAACCAAAAAAAAGAACTACAATGGAGACCATAGGTATTCCTTAACTACTTGGGGGGTCGGGGGACTTAGTAACTGGTTATTTTGGGGACTTATAAGTATACCATAACCCCAATTAGGGTCCCTTTTAGGGTACTTATAAGTCTACTTACTAACTACTTACTAACTCCCCCGACCCCCCAAGTAAGGGATCGTGGAGCTTCTGGGTAAGGAGTTTACGGGTGTTCCTTCACACGGGTGCCTGGAAACCGTGAACCCTAACCCAAGCCGGAAGCGATAAACCCTACTTGAAGGATCATGGGACTTAGTAAGTAGGTTATAATTGGGGTTATAAGTCCCCTAAGTGGGGTTATCCTAATTATAACCTACTTATAACCTTACTTATACTAAGCCCCATGAGCCTTCAAGTAGGGGAATATGGCCCGCAGATTCGTCAGTTGAAGAAACCTTCCGGAGCTAAGAGTGTATGGTTTGGGGTTTAGGGCTTATGTTTCCTTTATAATGCGGGTGCCCTTTTTCCTAATAGTCCGCTTTAAAAAGTGGACCCTAAAACAAAAAGAGCAAAAGGGTGCTACTCAGGAACCAAGTAATAGTACGATTTCTAAACCAAAATAGGTCTTTTGAGTTACATGTATCCTCCTAGATCGCTGTTGAAACCCAGTTCCAATGCCAGAATCAGAAGCCCCTCTGCAGCTCAGCAGCTTAGAACCAGGAACGCGGCATCGGCAATGCCTCCTTGGCAGAAAACGACGTCGTTCTGTGCGAACTCCACCTTAGCAGCTTCGGGCTGTGGCATTTACTCAGGTTAAGGGTTTAGGGTTTAGGGTTTAGGGTTTAGGGCCGTAGGCCCCAAAGTAGTTCCTTTTTGGGCTTCGTATATAGAATCCTATAGGGGTAATCCCAAAAAGGAACTACTTTGGGGCCTCTGGGTACCTGAACCCTACCACTCGCGACGGGTTCCTTCCTGTATTCCGATTTCCATATTTGAAGAACTGAAAACGAAAGATAAAACATGGTATCGATGCAGGTTTAGCAGTCTTAGCATTGGGAGTTCGGGCTCAGGGCCTGTGATGCTAAGCCCAAGCACATCGAAGCTAAAACTTGAATGAAGCTAAACAATAAATTATACCCTAAGTCCAGAATCGGAACGCTGCATTCATGGCCGTGTGCCGTAGCCCGATAGCGATCAAAATCTAAGTTTGGTTCAGGCTTCAATTTGCCCCCAAGCAGTTCTCCTTCGGAACACGATGCGTCCTAAACTTCGCACGCCATGGGTTAGGGTTTAGGGCTCATAGAGTTCATGCTTTCTGATCCAGAGTTTAGTAAAACAAAAATGCAGCTCTCAGAAAAATGAATAGCGCCGCCCGATCTCTCGTGCAAGTACAGTATCACAACCCCGTTCTGAACAAGAAGCTCTCTCTAATTGTTGAAGCCCTCCATAAGAATCCTGGAAAGCCCTCTTGCAAGCGCTAAGGCCCTCATACCCTGTTTCGTCGTCTCCGACTGACGTGGTTTATGTCGGAGGATCTCCTGAGTTGCGGGCACTGCCCTACTACACTCTTTTACTGCAGAGGCTGGACTGGTGTGTACTCATATAGAGGGGCATTTAGACGCTTTAAGGGACCTATAAGAGATTTCTGAGGGTGATGTGAGCGGGGTTCAATAAGGGTTGACAGGGTTTAGCATAGCGCAGGCACGTTTGCTGCTTACGCAACCATATGCCTCTTACGAGTGACAGCTTTTCCCGTAAGCCACAACCAATCTATCTAGGAGCTCTATAGAAGCCTCAGACACAAAGCAAGAAGTCCCCGAACCTACATTCAGAAACCCTGTTACAATACTCGACCCAAGAGTAATCTAGGAATAAAAGGGTGCCCTTATAAGGGAATCTGATCCCTTAAAAAGGGAATAAGGGCCTACTCTAGGTCCTAGAATAAGCAGCCAGGGCTCCGTGTACAGCGCTTTTGTTGCCAAGGATTGCAGGACCTTTCCCTCCTGGAATCACAGGGACCCTTAGGGGGATTAGGGGACTATACTTCCTTAAAGAGGCCTTATGAGGTCCTTGTTATGGGTATTAAGCCCTCCTGGAAACCCAGGCCCAATACCCCTTAATTAAGGAATATACCTCAAGAAAAAAGAGGCCTTAATATTATGATTTGAAATACTTTCCTTAATTAAGGAGTATTGGGATCTCTGGAAACTACAAAGATAGAGCCCGAGCAATAAGGAAGCTAGTAGGATCCCCATACAAGCATGCAATAACAGACCCGCCCCCCCATAACCTAGTCAAGTCATGGCAACAGTGGGCTGAAAGACAGCTCTGCTTGAAGCCACGAATTCGAGGGCATGTGCGAGTGTACAAAAAAAAGCAGGCAGGGGAAGTTCTGTGTCATTGGAGGGAGCCCTTAGAAGGGGCTCCAGATGGATTAGGATGAGGGGGAATTGTTAGAACCCTCTCCATGTGGGTGGTTGTCAAAATTATGGTCCCTTTTCGGGTGCCGTACTATATTAAGGACCCAAAAAGGGACCATAATCTTGACAACCACCCATATAAGTGTCGCAGAAGTGCTGGTTTTCGTGACTCCCTGTGCTAGAACGAACCCAAACCCAGCGCAGCAACCGGAGCTAACCACCAAGATTGAGGATCCCTAAGTACCTCTACTTGAAGGATCATGGGACTTAGTAAGTAGGTTATAATTGGGGTTATAAGTCCCCTAAGTGGGGTTACCCTAATTATAACCTACTTATAACCTTACTTACTAAGTCCCATGAGCCTTTAAGTAGTCTCCATTGTAGTTCCTTTTTTTGATTATCCAATTTTTTGGTTAGGACACTATCATAGAGACTTTGGTTAACAAAAAAAGGAACGACAATGGAGACTATAGGTAAGCCCGAAACCCAAGAGTCCTAATTCAACTACACCCTACATCCTCACGCAAGAGCATACAGAAACAGTACATAGCTCCAGCCCCAATAGTGAGCCAAAGCTCATACCGAACCCCGGGGCCTAAATCCGCAAGACTCAACTCCAAATCCCAACCTCACACCGCAAGCCCAGGTTACGCTGACAGCATTTAGAGTTAAACGAGGACTTCCGGTGCTTCATGTCGAAACGGAAGGGCTCAGGCCCGAAACACTATGCAGAACTTCCGCAAGTTGGATTGGATCGCGAGTCTTAGTGCTTGGGCTTGGACACGTTACTTGGGGGGTCGGGGGAGTTAGAAAGTAGTTAGTGAGTAGACTTATAAGTACCCTAAAAGGGACCCTAATTGGGGTTATGGTACTTATAAGTCCCCAAAATAACCAGTTACTAAGTCCCCCGACCCCCCAAGTAGTCACCTCTCTTTACATTCAGGGTTCTACAGGGGTTCTAAGGGACTTGCGGTTATTCAAGCTATTCTGTACCTGAAGTCCATGAGGATAAAGATCTTCAGCTTTTTGGCACGCACAGTGTTTCCCCTAAGCCCTGAGCCCATTGCGGTACAAACGCTGCTGACTGAAGATGTTTAATCGCCTGAGCTCCCCATACACTCTGAAATGTCTCAACGACCTACTGCTACTCCAACCTACAACTACCCCGCCCTCGATCTCACCTTTGAGGTTTTTGGATTCAAACGGTTTGGATTTGGGGGGCGTGTTCGGACCATCTCTGATGAACAAGCGATTCAAAAAGCTCCTGTGGCGTCTGCTTGTCGCTGGACATAAGGTTCCTGGGCGGTGGGGTTGACACGTCCCGGATGTCAAAACCCTACACCAGGAACCCTAAACCGCAAGCCCCAAAAAACAGAACCTTGCAAACCCTATATCCTAAACGCGACATGCCAGCACCCAGGAAGTAGTCGACGACAAGTCCTACAGGTTCGGTTAGGGTGTAGAACGTTAGGTCTAGGATAGACATGGATAATGCAAGACCACAAAGCCGTAGATGCAATAGACTTCAATAGACCCGCTCCCTGGAGCTAAACCCTGGACATCCAGCAATGAACAAAGGCGTTCAGGTGTTAGGGCCTATGCAGGGGTTCAGAGTTTAAGCTCCGCAGTTTCGGGGTCTGGGTGTGCAAGAACATGCTTCGAGAGACGTTTGATGGACCCTGCTCCCTACAATGGAGACCGCTGATGAGTAAAAGCCTTCCCTACACCGTTAGGGTTTACAGTAAGCCCCAAAAGGATGGAAAACGGATTGAGGACAAATACATTACTCTTGAGGATTGAGGCTGCTGGGTTTCCAACTTTTGGACTTCTACTATAGGGTTTGGGCTTTACGATTCAGGATGCTGATCATCAGTAGTTATGAAGGATCTCTCCGAGCTGAACTCGAGACGCTAGATCACCCTTAATGGCAACGTTTGCCCTCTCAGCTTAGGATCTTCACAATATTTAGGGCCCCGTGTTTACTGGCATCCCTGTCATGCGCATAAACCTTGGGAGCCAAACAGTGACGTAATCAAGGCTTCTACACAAGCTCTGTTCTCTAAGGCCCCGCCCTAAACCCTAAAACCCCCAACTGAACCTAAAACCCCTATGGCAACCCCAAGCCCCCCTAAACCCTAAACCCTAAACCCAATACACCCTGAACCCAACATCCTGAACCCTATGACCGCCTGAACCCTAAGCCGTACAGTAGAAGCCAGAAAGTTGGTATATCAATATCGTAACCCCTTTAAGGTAAATTATAGGGGATCCTACCATTAATCCATATTCCAACTTGCTGGAGTGCCCTATAAACCCTGATTCCTAAACTTGATGACCCCCTACAGGCCTCAAACCTTTTCTTCCCAACCGCAAGTCCTGCGCCCTATACCCTAAACCCCTAAACCCGCACCTCAGGAACGTGAGCTTCTCCAACGCCGACTCGTAGCGCGTGAACTGGAGCTCCGATCTCAGGCCCTGTTTTGGGTGCTTACGGTTTGTAGTTTAGGGGCCTTTACGGTTTACGATTTTAGGCTACGAGTTTAGGCTTTGGGGTTTAGGGTTTGTCGGGTCTTAAAGTCTAGAATGTACGGCTTAGGGTATCGGGTTTATGAGTGTTTCGGGTTTAGGGCTTAGGGCTAGGGGCTTAAGGCTGCGGTCTAGGGTGTGTAAGGTTTCTTGGTTTGGGGTTCAAGCTTTTGGGTTTAGGGGTGAGGGTTTGGCGTAGGGTTTGGGGCCGTTTCGGGTGCTTCAGGGGGAAAAATCTGGGCTGCTGCAACCCTACTACGAAGGCTCTATACCAATTTAGGGTTTGGAGCTTTAGACTTTGGGGCCTTGTGTGAAGTTGCAAGGGTTCCGGGTCTAGAGCGTCATACTGATTGCTTACGACATTGTAGGTTATTATGGTCGGTCCTGAGGACGACGACGGCGAGAAGAGAGCCTTTCTCAAAGACTCGCCACTACCTCGAGCCGTGCTGCTTCCGCAGCTACCAGAGCTTCTCCAGGAGGACTTGAGTCACCACCATGTCGCAGCCGTGCGTTTGCCTCAGCAGTTGCCACACCTTTCCCAGGAGGAGCGGCTTCACCATTACGGTGGCAAGATGTGCTTGCTTCAGCAGTTACAGCTTCTGCATAGGAGTAGAGTCGGCAATAGGGTGCAGAGGTCTGCTTGCTTCGGCAGGTGCAGGGACTTTCCCAGAAGGATTGGAGTCCACAGCTATTGCCCTGTTCTCCTGAAAAGCACTCTGAGAAGCGTCCGATTCCCTGGTAAGTGCTCAACCCTAAATCCTAAGCCTGATAGTAAAGCCTTATCGAATCTTAGAACCACAGTAACATCTTATGGAAACCCTAAGCCCTAAACCATAAAAACCAACTTCAAAACCGAAGCCCTAAACCCTAAACCCCTAAAAGGGGCCTCATTCCTGAGAAGAGCCTCGACCTCCTGGTTTGTTCCTGAGAAGCTAGGGTTTTGATCTTAAACCCTACACCCCACGCCGACATAGACATAAAGCCAGGCCGTAGACCGCAAAGCGCTTCAACCCTAAGCCAAGATAAACTCCAAACCTGAAAAGTCCTTATATCCACCGACGCTCCTCAACCCCAAAAAACAAAAGGCATAGGCCCCAAGCGCTACCTTAGAGTTTCGAGAGAGTTGAAGATCATCGCCTTGGAGAGTAGCTTGAGGATCGGCACATCGGAATCGGAGGTGCAATCCTTGCAAGCTCGCAGTTTAGGGTATCGGGTTGTGGTGCGGTTGTAGAGCCTAGCTCAGAGGTTTAAGTTTAAGTTTAGTGCATTTGCAATCCTCGCAAGCTCGCAGCGTAGCACTTTTTCTGTTGTACGTGCCGTGGGTCTTTGCGATTTAGGGTTTACAGCCTCGGGTTTAGGGTTTAGGGTTCTGCGGTAGAGTTTCGCCCGGGGTTTCAGGTTAGTGCGCTTGGACTAGCGAGTACGGTACAGCAGTCAAGGAAGTACAAGAAGTTGCCCTAAACCCTAAACTCTAAACCCTAAACGCTAAACCCTGAATCCTACAAGTAAAGCCTAAACCCTAAACCCCAAACCGGTTTAGGGCTTAGGGATAGATTCGGGTAGATCGGGCTTCCGGAGAAGACTGCACTACGCCATGCGATGAATCGATGTGCATGTACCCTCAGGCCCCAAAGTAGTTCCTTTTTGGGGTTCCGATTTAGTTGCTTGGGCCTATGGGTAATTTCGACAGGCTCCGATAGGACAAGTTGACGTCTCGCACGGGAGCCCTTCTTCGGGAACCCTCCAATCCTACACCCGAAATTTGAAGCCAATGCGAGAACAACTCCTGCAAACGAACAGCTCTGCGCAGAAGCTTCAATTCTACCGAAAAGGAGCAACGAGAGCAATCAGAGGAAGACACTTGACATTCAGAAACAAGCAAAAGTAATCCCCGAGCAAACCCTAGGGTTGACATTGCCCATAATAAGGCATATACCATAATTCCCATAGTCTAGGGTCACGCAGGATTTATATCTTCAGCCGTAGGAAGCTCGGGACCGCAAAACCCCAAACCTCAAACCCTAAATCCTGACTCGAAGGCTGTTGCTATTCCAGCCGAGGTGCAGTTTGGGCATGGTAGGCATACCTCGATTCGCAAGGCTGGGAACAAGTTTTTGTTGGGGCTCTGATAAAGGTTCCTACATGGGCTCGGCGTGTGCTGTAATTAGGTTCCCCGGAATGCAAGGGGTGTACTTAGCAACTTAGTACTATAGGGGCCTTAGCGATTGGATTATACTTATAGTAAGGAGCCCCCAAAAGAGTATTAATGCCAATCATTTACACCCCTAAGTTCGTTGGAGTTAAGAGACAGGCCGAGGCAGGCAAAGGCCAAAGGGGCCGCTCGAGCTCAGAACCTCTCTCGGCTGCCTATAAAATACGATAATACTATAGTATTATGGTATTAATATACTATAGTACTATAGTATTATGGCATTATGATATGATAGGTGCTCCGTATCTCTTTCGGCAAACCCAGACAGATTATATAAATGCCAAAGCCGCCGCCTTGGAACGGGCCGGCACCATGCCACCTACAGCTCCAAGCGCAGACTATACACGGTGAATCAGATGCTGTGTAAAATCCGTCAACTCAAAGCCACCATCCCTAAAAGCTCTTCTTTTCAAGGGAGGGTGGTCCCCCTCTGAGGGTTTAGGGCTTAAGGTTTAGGATTCAGGGCTCATGGCCCTCAACCATAAACCCCTAAATCCTGCAGGGTCTAGGGTTTATAAGCCTTACACTGCTTTTTAACGGAATCCTAAACCCTACACCCCAGACCCTAGAGGCTGGTGCTTCCCTTCCCGCAATCGGCGCCGAGATGCTGCAAGAAGCGCGTGATCCGGTCGGAGAGCTCCTCCGGGATTTCCTGGGCTTTAGTAAACTTTCGGGGTTTAGGGTTTAGGGGTTTAGGGGTTTAGGGGTCTAGGGGTTTAGGGCTTTAGGGGTTTAGGGTTTAGGGTTTACCCACAGGCTCCATAGTAGTTCCATTTTGGGATTACCTTATAGGATTCCAAAAACGAGTCCCAAAAAAGAACTACTACGGTTGATGATATAAATCCTGCATTACCCATAATGAATATACCACAATTCCCATAGTTCAGGGCCGCTAAGGTAATGCAGGATTTATATCATCAACCGTATGGAGCCTATATGGGTAGGGGTCTCAAGCGCAGGACCAGGATTTAGAGCCTAAGTGTGTTTACCCTCAGCCCTAAACTACACCCTCAGCTCCTAAACCCCCTAAGCCCTAGACCCTGAACTCTAAACGTTTTCGGGTTTGGGTTTAGGATTTAGGTGGCTTAAGCTTCTGGTCGGAGGTCTCGCGGATTCAGGTTCTAGGGAAGACAGAACCACGAAGCCCGAAACCCTGAATCCGGGGTTTAGGGTTTAGGCACCTTAAGCCTTAAGCCCCCCATGCAAGACCATGAACCCCAACAATCAACCACCAAAAAGAGCTTAGAACCACAGAGCCCTAAACCCCCAACCCTTCCCCGAGCCACACAAACCTAAACCCTTCGCAAACATTAAAAAATTGGCTTGGTCCGCCAGGGCTCGTGTTCGTGGTTTAGGGCGTAGGATCTGGGGATATTTGGGGGGCTGAAGACTCAGACAGAATTCTGAAACCCTGATTCATGGGATGGAAGAGGCAGTCGAGCAGCACTGTGGCGCAGAAACCGGTGTAGATTCCGGAACTGAACCATCTCGTCATTCCTGCCAGGCACTCCGAACCCTAAACCCTTGGGGCTGTGGGTCTGGGCTTGAGGGCTAGGGCAGCATTCTCTAAAACTCCAAGGAAGGCTCCTCAAGCCCATACCGAGATCTTCAAAGCCTGGGTGAAGCGGTCAGGCTTCCGGAAAATCTCCCAACCGTACTTGGAGGGTCGGGGGACTTAGTAACTGGTTATTTTGGGGACGTATAAGTGCCATAACCCAATTAGGGTCCCTTTGAGGGTACTTCTAAGTCTACTTACTAGCTACTTACTAAGTCCCCCGACTCCCCAAGCAGGCTTCCAGAAAATCTCCCAACCGTAAAGTCCAAGGATCGCTCTCAAGGAACACTGCTGTCCTCATTGACGTACTATAGGGGCCTTAATTATTAGAACAGTGATACCATCATTATAATAAGGAACCCTCCACAATAGTATTGGTAATATCATTAAGGCCCTGCACTAAATCCTTATAATAGTAGCCCTTATAGTAGCATTTAATAGACCCCCCTTTAAAGGAACCCTGGTGCATGTATAGACCCCCTGTTTTTACTTACGGTTGCGCAGTCTTTGGATCTTCATGCCGGAAGGAGACTTGGAAGCTGAACCTTCCGGAGTGATCCGAACTCTCCTTTCAGGCTGCAGGGCTTGGGGTCTATTATAGGGGCCTAAATAATTACAAATGCTTTTTTTTTGGGGGGGGGGGAGGGGGTTCCTTATTAATATACTTGTAGTATGGTATACCCCAAAACCCTATTCTAATTTCTAAGGGCCCTTTTTTCGGGACTAGCAGAACACCCTGAACCCTTCACCCCGAAGCCCCAAAACCCCAAACCCTCCAATCCGGCGATTTAGGCCTCTTCTTGTCCAAGGCGGTCATCAAGGACGTGATGGTACTCACCTGGGTGGTTGTCAACATGATGGCCTTTTTTCCGGTCCTTATTTTAATACGGCACTTAATATTCAGGGTGCCTGAAAAAGGGGCCATAATTTTGACAACTACTCACCTTTTGCTCTAAGCTCCACGCCTTCATGGGGGGTTCCTATAAAGTACCCTTACAGTAGAAGCCAGAAAGTTGGGATATGGTTTCATGGTAGGATACCCTATAATTTACCATAATCATATTCCAACTTTCTGGCTTTTACCTTAGTAGTAGAGGGCCCCCCAAATTAGGGGATCTTGGAGGTTCGATCACGGCCCCCAACTCCGAACTCCCGCAAGCCGAGCCATCAATCTGAAACCTAAGCGGACCCAACAACCTAACCTACACCCTCAACCCTCAACCCTCAACCCTCAACCCTCAACCCTCAACCCTAAACCCTAAACCCTAAACCCTAAGCACCTACACCCTCAACCCAAAGCCCCGAAACCCCGAAATTCCGAAGCCCTGAATCCCTAAACCCTGACTCACTCAACCCCAACAAAGGTGGAGGCCTCAAAGCCAAAACTCCCCAAGAGCCGAACCTCCGAGCAAGACCGGAAGACTAACATACCCTGGGCCCTATACCTAGACCCTCCATCTACCCTCTATTAGACCCTAAATGCCCATTATTTGGGGCCGTATTCCCCTATTTGAGGGCACAAGGAGGGTCCTGGCAGGATTCAGCGGTGGAGGCGAGGGTCTTATAAGGCTAGCAAAAAAGGACAACCTTGACACAAAGTCATTGTGTCTTGGGTCCCACGATGTGTCCCAACCAGAGACATCACCGGCCAGTCCCATGGTGGTTCCCACCTGGTACCCCAAAGTGAGAATCTTCTCCGCCCTGGCCTCCAGAGAAAGTCCCTTGATGGTGTGCTGGGCGCCTGCCACGTGATGTAGATAGGCATGCCACCATGGCGCAAAGTCCAGAGTGCGTTCGGGACATGGGGCTTGGTAGGGACGCGCCGGTTTGCCCCACTTTGCCATCAGCAATTCCATCTTCACCTTCTGCTTATACACATCATAGTGGCGTTTCCTGCCAACCCATCCTTTCCCCTCAAGAGCTAAAGCGGACTCCATTCTAGCCCTCGACTGCGGCGGTGCTACTATATGTTCTGCGATCTAAGGGTCTGTATAGGTAGAAGAGGGCTCCCCTAAAGTTTGAAGGGTCTTCGAGTCCCCCGATAATCCGAAACGCGAAACATCGTGTCTGAAAAGACCACAAGACCTTCAGGGCTTTAGGGTTTCTGGTTTAGGGTTCAGGGTTCCAAACCCAAAGCCCTAAAGGTTTCGGGGTGAAGGGCTTTAAGGAAATGTTACTTTATTGAGAGAAAGCAAGGTTGACGCGTTGTCGCCCTTTCTTTCGACCCCACGAGAACGATTAGGGACTCCAAAAAGGGCATAAGCATAAGCAGAAGGGGGTTTATACGGGATATCCCTATTCGAATTCTGCTTATATGCGTTTTTCTGACCCTACTTAAGGCCTCTAGTCTAGACAAGGCCAGTCGCCAGCGTCGCCGTAGTGATAAGTGAGAGGACGGCCACACAGATGCAAAACCTGCTTCACTGGGCTTCTGGGTGACCCAGGAGAAAGGTATTAACCATGGTTCCTTTGAGGAGCAGGTCCAAAATCAAGCAATGCAGTACTATAGGGGCCTAAATAATTACCAATACTATTTTGGGGGTTCCTGATTATAAGTATAGTATAATGGGCCCTAAAACCCTATTCTAATCATTAAAGGGCCCCTATGTTACGGTATTCCAGCTTTAGCCGAAACTGCAAAGAGCTGAAGCCGGCCTGGCGGCTTTAGAGCGTGCGGGCTTTAGCCATAGGCTCCAAAGTAGTTCCTTTTGGGGGTTACTTGCAGGGTTGGGGACTTAGTAACTGGTTATGTTAGGGACTTATAAGTACCATGACCCCAATTAGGGTCCCTTTTAGCGTACTTATAAGTCTACTTACTAACTACTTACTAAGTCCCCCGACCCACCAAGTACCTCATAGGATTCTAAACATCAACCCCAAAAAGGAACTACTATGGAGCCTCTATAGGTAACAATTTTCTACACCCTGAATGGCGGCCTTTCTGTGGTCCTCGAAAGTCCGCCGAGCTCAGCGAAACGTCTTCTTACGCCCTTACCCCACGAATCAAAGTCTCCAAAGTAGTTCCTTTTTGGGGTTCCTATTTTTGCACCGTTTGGGGTTCCTATTTTGGAATCCCATAAGGTACACTCCCAAACAGGAACTACTGTGGAGCCTATGGGTAATTGTATCCGTGAAGTCGAAACCGGTGTGCCGGTTGAGGCTTCATAGTTTCGGGACAACCACGGTTTAGGGTTTAGGGTTTAGGGTCTCAGGGTTTAGGGTGTAGGGATTCTGGTGGGGTCCTTGCTTCCATCTAAAAGTAGGTGCCCTGGGCCCTAGATGAAACCTGGTAGGATACTCTGCATACTCTGTTTGCCACCTATTCGGCCTGGCTGTTTCTCGAAATTTTCGAACACAAATAATGCCCGCTCATGTACAGAAACATTCATCTGAGGCCCTTGGCTGTTAGGGTATCCACAACCTCTAGAGAAAGCTGGTATCAGGCTTGAGTGACTAGACAAAGTCTGCTGGGGTGCTTCTGTATTGATTTACCCGGAAGTAAGGAATTTGGAGTGTAAGTACTACTTATTAATTCAGGTTCCTATGCTTGAAAACAGCTTCATACATGTCATGTTTCGAATCGAGTCGGGGATTGTCAGGTCGACGATGCGTGATACCCCGATGCAAACGGTGTAAGATTCTAGGATCTAGGTTAAAGGGTGATAGGCTTTTAGGGTTTGGGATGTTTAGGGTGTTATGGTTTAGGGTGTTGGGGTTTCGGGGTTCAGGGTCGGTTTGGCAAGCTGAAACAGGCTAGTGGGACAGACGGTTTAGGCGGGGTCATTCTAAAATCCCAAATCCTACACCCTAAACCCCTCAGCCCTAGTGTCACAATGCCTGCAAGGCACGCCCTTTCTGGCACATTGTACGCTTCGATCTCGACATTTCCGACGCCGAGCTGCGCAAACGCCCAGTGAAGGCAGGTAGTGTACTGGTACCAGACCTCACAGCTGAGAGCCGAAAACCCCAAACCCTGAATCATGACTGAACGAAGAGTACGCAAGGAAGGAGGTTTTAAATGTTGGAAGGAGATTTTGCGGCAGGATTTTTAGGATGTTAGAGATGCCCAGTGCCTGGCATCATGGTCAACAGAGGCATAGCCACTCGAACCTTTAGCGACGGCTACAACCCAAAACCTCAAACTATGTTTACAACTGCCTGCAGCCGGCTAAAGCGCTGCACCCCGAAGCACGGCCTTCAGGACCCTAAGCCCTAAACCCTAAACCCTGAACCAAGAGATTCTTGGGCTCATGGTCTGCAGAGCCACGGGAGAATCCCAAGCCAAACCCTGAACCCAGGATTCTAGAAGGACACCTCGCTGTGTAGATGAGTTGAGGGTTTCGGGATTAGGGCTTATGGTTTAATACCCATAGGCCGCAAAGTAGTTCCTTTTGGGGGTTCGTATATAGAAACATATAGGGTAATCCCAAAAAGGAACTACTTTGAGGCCTCTGGGTAAGGTTCTGGGATGAGGCTTTAGGATTAAAGGTCGACCAGGAGTGTGAAGGGAGGGGTACCGTCAATCTTCGGGCTACGATTGCTCAACGCCGCACAAATGATGGCAGCCATGTTAGAGCCTGCTTTCCCACAAGCAAAACCGGAACCTTGTTTATCTTTCTATACGTATAAAGGTATTGCGGTACATATCGGCTAAAACCTAAACCCCTAAACCCTAAACCCCTAAACCCTAAACCCCTAAACCCTATAAGCGCTACTCTGTTGCCTGCCGGTGTGGGAGACCCCTACATAGACACAAAGGGGAAAAGGAGGGACCCTCAATGGGGACCCCGACCCTATAACGGGTTATATGATGGGTACAAAAATAGCATATTAAGGGTATATGCCTAGGGGTCCTTGTTAAGGGTCCCTCCTTTTACCCTTGGATAGACCCTAGGCTGCCTACCTCGCGCTCACGGCGGGGAACAAGGTTCCATCTTGGTTTAGGGTTTAGGGTTCAGGGTTTAGGGTTTAGTAAAGTTTAGGGTTTAGCGGTTAGGGTTGTAGGGACCTTCTTTAGAGATTCCGGGGTATTTGCTGAGGCGGTTGTTACGGGCTGATGTGGAAAAACAAAGATGCCGATTGGCACGTTCCCAAGGTGTGTCCCCACGGTTGTACATACTCTGCAAGCTGCTCCGCAAGAGAAGGAACCCAAAGGGCACCAAACACTCAACGCTACCCATAAAGTTGGAAACCGGATTAAGGAAAAATAGTGCTGGGATTCCCTATACATTACTCTTCAGGATTAAGGCTATTAGGTTTCAAACTTTGGGCTTCTACTGTAGAACCTTAAACCTCACGGGCCCACAGGGATCTTCTCAAAAACCATCCGCACCGTAATATCAGCCCTACAAACCCTAAACCACACCAACCACGAATAATGAACCCGATGCCAAGGGCCCCTATCCCTGAAGCCGAAGGCATGGCAAAACCGTACTTTTTTTCCCCGGACCCTACACTGCGAGGGGCCAGTTGAGGGTTCAGGGCTTATGGGGCTTAGGGTTTGGGGCGTTAGGGTTTAGGGCATGTAGGTTTTTGCGTTGCTTGTTGTTTTTCTCGGTGCCTTTTTTTCCCCTTTTGGAGTTCAGGGTTTAAGGCTTTATCCACCTACAATCACCACACCCTAAGCTCTACACCCAGATTGAATCCTGAGAACTCGAATACCTTGCCGAGCGGCGTCTTGTTGCTGGAGTCCCGACATAGACAGCCACGTGGCTCCAGGTGTCATGTTCAAGTACCCAACTCCGAACCTGAAAGTCGGATTGCTTTCGAGCTCTAGCTCTCAGCTTGGCCTGTCGAGTACCCTGGGGAACTACAGGTTAGCCTTTATTGGGATTATTGCGGTACCCCAAAAACTAAAGGTCATCTAGTCTACTACTGGGTGAGCACGGGGGTCTTCAAAGGGATCTGCATAGGGTTCCACAGGGGTTGAAGGCGTAGGCTTTGAATTACAGGGGACCGATAAACTAACCGTAGTATTTATTCCTGAGGCTTCCTTATCATGAGTATACAGAGTATACCCAAAGACCCTACTCTAATTAGTGAAGACCCTAAACCCTAAACCCTAAACCCTAAACCCTAAACCCTAAGCCCTAAACCCTAAACCCTAAACCCTTGGCCGGTGGGTCCCTAGGGCCCTAGACATTTAAACCCTAAACCCTAAGCCCAATAAGCGAGCACAAGCGAGTTTTTTAGTGGGACGTCTTTGCTACTAAGGCGGCCCAGGGCCGTAAATGTTTTCAGTTCTAACTTACTCAGACTCCTTCATCAAAGCCGAAACCCTCAAAGGGCAACGTTCCGAAAATGAGACCGAAATCCAGGAGCTCGACGAATGACAAACTTCAAGCCCCAGATCCTACTGCGTTTGTTTGTTAGTTTACACGCACCTTGCTCAAATTCACGGTAGGTTTTAGGGCTCATTTTTTGAAAGAAACCCTAGATCCCAACCCCAAATAGCCCCAAAGACTTCAACCCCAAATCTTAAACCCGGAACCTGAACTGAAAACCCAAAGCCCGAAGCCTTTAAGCTAGGACTCTTTATTAGGGGATTTTGGGGATAGAGACCCTCTCAATAAGGTCCCTTTTCAAAGAGCTAGAAATAGCGGGTTAACAAGGGACTCCTTTCAGGGGTCTCCCTAAAACACCTAAGACTAAGCCTAAGTCCTAAACTCTGAACCAGCTCGCAATCCCCACTCCCATCTTTGCAGATCGTATTGGGGCCTAAGTAATTAGAGTAGGGCCGTGGGGGTAGATCATAGCATGATCATGATTCTGAGCCCCGCTGCCGACACCTATACGATCCGGGGCTGCGGCCACAAACATGCGATAACATGTTGCTCCAGAAGCATCACGCCCAAAATTTTGAACCTCGGACTCCACCAGAGGTTTTGGCTCAAAGAGATTTAGGCAGGGCCTTACAGCTCCGAAGAAGAAAACTTTTCGAGCGAGCTTTGTGGGTTCCTTTAAGGGCTCCTTCCAGGGTTCTATAAGGGTTTAGGATTTAAGGGTCCATGTACTCTTATAGTATATATACCTTGGCCCCAAAACAACTATATAGGGACAGCTTTAGGGCCAATGCATGTACTAGTTGGGAGTTTCCGAAAATGGGGGACCCTAATGTAGCACCCTAAATAGTAGGATCCTTCTTATAAAGGGCCCCCCCCCCCAAATAAGGTACCCCTAATTTTCGGAAACTCAAATTTGGGCACATCGACCCTTAGGAGTGAATGCAGGGCTTCTAGGGTTCGGCCGGGGGGGGGTCGCTTGAGGGTTCAAATCTGCCCTACAATGGAGACTATAGGTACCACGTGCATCACAACTGAAAAGACTATTGAGATGAAGAACAACCCAGTAGGCTAGACCCTCAAGCTGAAGACCCTGAAATCCGAGTCTGGTACCGACTACATCCCGCTTTGGCTTGGAAGCCGGATCTAGGGTTGACCCATAGGCCCCAAAGTAGTTCCTTGTTGGGCTTCGTATATAGAATCCTAAAGGGTAATCCCAAAAAGGAACTACTTTGGGGCCTCTGGGTAGGGTTTAGGGTTGCTACAGTCCTGGAACAAGTAAGTGAGTTCAATCTGGCTCAGGCTTGGGGGCACAAGCTACGTCACAACAGACTGTCTGGCGGCAGGAAAACGACAGGCAAGGAACAACCGTCTACGAACAGTTCGACTCCTACGGTTGATGATACAAATCCTGCATGACGCACAAGAAGGAATATATTCCATAATTCCCATAGTTTCGGGTCCTTCAGGTGATGCAGGATTTTGTCCATCAGCCGTATCAGTTGTTTAGAAAGGAGCTTTCCGCATGTACTGCAAGAAGAGCGGAAGCACGGCTGAATCGGGGCCTTATCATGTTCACGTCGGTTCACACTGTTGGCAGTGTGGACTGCAAGCCGTGTCGGTGCTGAAATCCACGCCAGGAGCCGCAGTCCTGAGCTGATCCTTGACGGAACTGTTGTCGCCGCCCCGGAAAACATCACCCCAGGTCACAACGGAACCGTCACCCAGGATCGCAGCGAATGCAGAGTCTGTGGCCTGGATTTGCTGCACATCTTTCAGCAGGAATTTGACGGAGCGGCTGTCCCCACCAGCAAGACCATCGCCCCAAGTCACAACAGATCCGTCCTGAAGGATCGCAGCGAATGCTCTTTCCGCAGCCTGGATCTGCTGTACGTGTCTTAACAGCTCCTGAACCGAAGAACTATCACCCCCGAATCGAGGGTCCCCCCAGGTCACGACGGATCCATCACCTAGGATCGCAGCGAACGCATAATACGAAGCCTGAATCTGCTGCACATCCTGTAAATGCTCGCTAACAGAGCTGCAGTCGCCAGCAGAAAAAGGATCACCCCATGTCACGACAGATCTATCCGCTAGAACAGCCGCGAAAGAACGCTCGGTGGCCTGGATGTGCTGCACATTCTGTAGCTGCTTCTGGACAAGGCTACTGTCACCACCGAAGCGAGCGTCGCCCCAAGTCACCACAGATCCGCTACGTAGTATAGCGGCGAAGGCGTGCATTGTCGCCTGGATTTGCTGCACATCCTGCAAACATGGCTTTACCAAGCTACTGTCACCTCCAAAGCCAGCATAGCCCCATGTTACGATGTATCCATCTTCACGGATGGCAGCGAATGAAGTTCCTGTGGACTGGATATGCTGCACCCTTTTCAACTGCTCCTTGACGGCGCTGTGATCACCTCCGTAGCGAGGGTCCCCCCATGATACGACGGATCCATCGCCCAGAATAGCAGCAAATGCCGTCTTTGTGGCTTGGATTTGCTTCACATCCTTTAGCAGGTCCTGCACCTTACTTAGTTGCCCAGCAACGACACAAGCCAGCAGCAGAACTCCAAAAAACTACGACTTTAAAAAGAAACTCCAACAGTTCAATTGTGCCAACGCGTTTGGTAGTGGAAAACCGAGTCACCGGCCCACTGTCGCCGCCAGATACGGCACAACCCCAGGTAACGACATGTCCATCAGGAAGGAGTGCGGCAAAGGCCCGCTCTGTTGCCTGGATCTTCTGAACGTCTTTCCTGCGTGGGATTTGCATCCGAAGGAACATGCAGCGACGTCTTATGTGGACCAGCATCCGACACGGAATCGATCTGTCTGTCTACCGACCAAGCATATGCATATATATATATATATATATATCTCTCTATATATATATATGTATATATATACACACATACACATACATATACATGTATAAAGGCATATATACATGCACATACATGTGTGTGTGACAGATGAGAAGGAAGAAAGACGGATCGACACTCAGTTCTCTGTCTACTTACGAGTCTTAGTTCTTAGTTTACCCATACCTATATCCAAACATCTGAAATTAGAAACATGTGTATACGTATACATAAAAATGGATGTTGTGTAGTGTGTGTGCGTGTGTACATATGTATATATATATATACATATATATATATATATATATACACACATGAACAGATTCATGCACACTACTCCAGAGCCCAGCTTCAGTTGATCTTTCACTGCCGTGCTGTCACCACCGGCACGAGAACCGCCCCAGGTAACCACAGATCCATCCGCCAGGATGGCTGCAAAACTGTCTGCTGTGGCTGCCAAAGACATCTGCTGCACTTGTAAGGTCAGGATGTCTCCGCTTTTTACACCCGATTGGCTAAGTGTAGCCTCGCCACATAGTACGTGACCAGAGGCGCTGACCAATCTGCCCCGTCCAACTTGCAGCGCAGTCTGCGCTTTCAGCCTGAACTCGTCAACAGTACAACCACCTGGGGCTGAAATCTGTGTCAATTTCCCGCTCAGCAGCGTCACATCGACATCAAGAGACATTGGACAATCTTTTACATCTCACTGGCTTCAGCTGTTGAGGGTCGGTCGATATCCAAAGCAAAGCACTAGAGCAGCTGAAATGCAAAGGGAGCCGAGATGTCGCTGGTTGCTCAGGTACTGCCGTACTGCCCCCACCCTGTACCAATCGGTATGAGGGGTTTCATTCAGGGCTATATGATATATAAGTAGATTATACGCAAATAGTGTCTAAGTGTGGGGCAGTAGTCAACTGGTTGCGTTCGAGGTTCATGTGATCACTTCAACCCAGACCCCAGCCTCATCACCCTAAACACTATAAACATCTAACACCAAGGTTCCATGCAGGCGGCGGAAAATTGACTCTCCTTCGGAAGCCCTGACAGGACAACGGCGCTCCTTCGAAATGCTCAAAATCCTGAAGGGCCTGGCATGTAAAGATGAGGACCGTGTAATCAGAGCAGGGTGTTGGTATTAGGTATGTAATTTCGTTTTGAATAAATTACAGAGCTGAGAGGAAAGTACTGCTGACTTTACAGGCAACCACATGTATGTCTATGTACATACACACGCACACATAAAACTGTGTATGTAACCGCATGTGTATCAGCATCTACACATGTTCAGTGTGCGTGTGTTTAGATGTACATATAACCATAAGTATACATATATGTACACGCATATGTTATGCGTATATATACGCATATATATATATATATATATATATATATATATATATACATATATATATATATGTATACACATATACATGCATATGTATGTATACTGTTCGTATATATGTATGAAAAGCTGTGCGTACTAGAGGGTTCGGGTTCTTTACGGTTTTGGTTTTCGTGAGCATTAGTCTGCATGCTTGCCCAGAAGCAAGCTGTACTGCGTCATCGTGGCCTGACGGTTTAGGGAATAGGGGTCAGGATTTGTGACGTAGGGTTTGGGTTTCGGCATAAACTGTACCGACATGCCTTTGAACTTGAACTTTCAGTTGTCGGTTGCAAAACATGCACACTTATGTAGGTGCTCAGATATTCTACGTCGCCTTCCCACGCCGGAGTTTTCGAAAAAGGGACCCTAATATAGTACCCTGAATAGTAGGATCCTCATTATAAGGACCCAACAATAACGTACCCCGAATTTTCGGAAACTCGCACATAGCTCTGGGAAGCTTCCCCCTTGGGCCCCTCCGGCCAGGTGGTCGCCAGAAAGTGCTCAAAGCATGTGTTTTGATGCGAATCAAGATGAGCCCTGCCATCTATCTTCTACTCATCCCTAAACCCTAAACCCTAAACCAAAAACCCTAAGATCACTTCAGAACTTCACATATTCTAACTCATCGTTCGTTTCTCTTCGCACATCATCATCCTCATCATCCTCTTCGGCATCAGCATGGTCCTGAACCGGAGTCACCAACAAATGCGGCTTGCCGGAAGATGAGATCGCGGGGCTGAGATTTCCAGGTGCGGGATTCTAAGGCGGCTGTATGTTCTAGATCTAAGAGTAACCTAGGAAGAAAAAGGGTGCCCTTTTTGGGTTAAAGGGGGCTTATAAGGGAACCTAAACCCTAAAAAAGGGAATAAGGGCCTACTCTGGGTCCTAGTGTTTCGGAGATGAATGATTGCAGCTGGAGGCTGATGCTGTTGCTGTGGGTGTACAGGGAACTCCAGAAAGTTGGAATATGGCTTCAGGGTAGGATACCCTATAATTTACCATAAAGGGCTTAGGATAATCATATTCCAACTTTCTGGCTTCTACTGTAGAGGGTCTTTAGGGGTCGGGCTGATTTGGGAGGAATCCTCATCCCAAATCCCCGAACTCTCAAACGAAAGCCCTGCACACTAAGCCCAACACCCTAAGCCGGAACCGTGAAAAGCTCGACAAGGAACTCCTAGTCCGTGGTTGGGATAGTATGATATAGGGGCCTTAATAACTAGAATAGGGTTTGGGGGCCCATTACACTATAATTCTGAAAAGGAACCCCCAAAATAGCACTGGTTATGATTAAGGCCCCTATCTTACGTTAAATGCCTATTCCTTCTTGGCTTAAGTGCACATGAAGAATCTTACCCAACTATGACAAGGAACCTGGGAGAGTGTGTTCTCTTCGAAGTGCCGCAAGATGGCATTCCTTGAGAACCCAAGCCATGTCGGGGGATTAGGCTTCAGGGGTTAGGGCTTAGGGCTTGAATATGGTATCCTATCGGATTTTTCTATTGTTGTTCATGTATATAAAAGCCCAGGAGACTATCAAAAAATGGCTTTGGTGCTGAAGGTCTCTAAACCCTAAACCCTAGGCCCTAAACCCTCAGGTGTGGGATCAGGAGTCTAAAGGCTTACGTGTTACAACGTACGCTTCAGAGCTTGCCGGAGCCTGTGCTTCTTATGTAGCACGGAGCTCCTACTTGGAGGATCATGGGACTTAGTAAGTAAGGTTATAAGTACCTTGATTGGGGTTATAAGTAACTGTAAGTATAGTTACCTTAATTATAACCCTAGTTACTAACCATGACCCTTTAAGTATGCTCAAGGTACTATACCCTAAGGCCCCTAAGTAGTTCCTTGTTGGGGCTCGTATATAGAATCCTATGAGGTCATCCCAAAAAGGAACTACTTGGGGGCCTATGGGTATAAGGGCCTTCATAATTAGAAAGTACTATTTGATTATAATAAGAAACCCAGAAAACAGCATTGGTAATTATTTATAGGGCCTGTATTGCGTATACCAAGCCGTGGCTATTCTACGCAAAACCAAAGGACATGCTGCTACAAGAATAACAGACTGTCTTAGATCTGAATCATCGTATACTATAGTCTATCAAGGACGGTAGAGTTTCGGGTCGAGTTTGTGCTTTGAGAGCTGCTTTTCTCATCTGAAATGAAATCCTGCAGAGGGGGAGAGCCTTTGGGTTCAGGGGTTGAGAGCTTAGGGTTACGTCATGGCATAGGGATTCCCGAGCGACCGTAGTAGAGTCGAAAAGTCGCGCTAGATGCTAGACAGGTCATTATTTCACTCTAGGATGATGCCGACAAAATAGAAAACACAAACGGTAGCAGCAGCAGCAGCAGCAGCAGCAGCAGGATTAGAGGGAGACAGGCGCAAGAGTATGGGTGTTGCATGGGTGCAAGCATTGACATGCTTGCGATTGCCGAGCGATGGCTATGTCCACACATTCATACTGTTTCAAGACCTCACGAACCCTGCTGCTGCGACTAACGCGTCAGAACTGGTGGTTGTATTTGTGTTGCAGCCATGAAAGGGCTTCGCATCAACAGGTCATGTTTGCACGGGAATCGTAACTTTTGGCTTAAGCCCAACACATTGGGTGGTTGTCAAACTTATGGTCCCTCTTTGGGTCCCTATTATATTACGGCACCTAGTATTTAGGGTACCCAAAAAGGGACCCTAATTTAATTTTGATAACCACGCAAAACCCTAAACCGTGAAGATCGAGATTCGTCTTGATCATCCGCACCACGCGAGTCAGGCGAAGGAAATGAAGCAGACGGAGGGACCTCGCTGCGGAGTTGTCGGGATTTAGCTCTACCCTAAGGGCCCAAAGTAGTTCCTTTTGGGGGTTCATATTTAGAATCGCATAAGGTAACCCCACAAAGGAACTACTTTGGGGCCTATGGGTAGATAAATTTAGGGTTTAGGGGCTTAGTTTAGGGTTTAGCCTTGGATTTAAATGATAGGCAGAGACTCGCGATTGCGGGATTCCCCGAAATTTAGGGCTGATGTGCTGCACAACTCCTCCTCACAACAGCTTCCGACCGAAAGATGTGTAGCTGTCCATAAATCCTAAGTTCGTTGAGCTCTCATAACTTCAGCTTGTGACCCTAAGCTTACACCAAAGCAATCGATTCGGAGCCTAAGTTAAGCATGTGTGATCAGCCTCATCGGCCCCTGAACCGTGCAGCCACAGGGCTTTAAAACAAAATCAAGCCACAGTTGAGGGCTCAGGGTTTAGGGTTTGCCGACCCAAAACCCCAACCCAAACTCCGTAACTTTTTCTAAAACCTTATGAGATCGTCATCAACCTGCTTTTAAGCCCTTCATAGAAACGTCGAAATGAGGTCAAGGATCTTCGAAAGCCTCGCCACACCGGTAGCACCGTCTCCCTGCGGCTTCGGGTTATATTGACGCAGTTTACAGAGAGTATAGCAGGGTTCATGCAGGCTTTCCGCATATTAAGAGTATTTAGGCTATGATGTGGGCCGGTTTAGTAAAGGGCTTATTGGGTTGGATTCGTGTCTGTGAAATTTATCTAAAGTTGTGATGTAGGTCTTAATTAGGTTTAAGGCTCAAGGCTTTAGGGTGTATGTCCCAGGGCCCAGAGCTTTCACAGGGCTTCTAGTAAAACCCTAAACCTTAAACCGCTTCAGAAAGACCAGTAAGAGTTTCTACAAGCCTTGCTTGATGAATAGCTCGACTTCTACATTTTGCGAGGAGGCCCGGGTGACTCTCGAAGGTGGGTCTCGGGTTTAGGGTGTCGGGTTTAGGGCTAGTGCTATAAGCCTCGGTGCGTGAGGGCTTTCTCAAGCATGTCACCCTGCTCTTGCACGGTAAGTTATGGGGCCTGCAGCTGCAACAGCACCATCATTGCCCTCTCGAGTCACCAGTAATCCTCAACCCCAAGCCCTACATGGTCCTGGGCTTTTGGCGCTGATGTTTCTTGAGATTAGGAGCTGAGGGTTCAGGGCCATGTCTCCGGACCCTGGACAAACCCTACCTACAGGAGTATCTAAATCCCAGACTCAGAAACTCCACCAAACCTCAATCACCCTGGTTTATCCTTCGGCGCCTTGGGCGTTGTGGGTTCAGGGGTAGATGAATCCACGGTTCAGCTTCTAGGACCCGGCACATGGGTGGTTGTCAGTATCAGGGTCCCTTTGTGGGTCCTTATTACAATACGGCGCCTAATATTTGGGGTGCCCAAAAAGGACCCTACTTTTGACAACCACCCACATGCTATAAGCTTTGCAGCACATCGGCCTCGTCCGCTAAGGCCACTATCGTCATGGCCCAGTCGACGCAGACCACGGTGAGATCAAGCAGGAACCATGATCTGATGGGCTCCGAGAAGATCTGTGTTTAACAAACGGTTCCATGACTCCATGAAGGCTTTTGATGGGTCTTGGCAACTCCAAAGCTAAAAGTTCTGAGCCTAGGTTTAGGTTTAGGAATGTTTAGGAGTTGCAGGACTTAGCGTCTCAGCTTTTGATTTGCTCCGCCCTCTCGCTATGGCAATGAAAGCTGTTCGGTTGCATTGTGGGGTTTCTTAAACTTTGCCGTTCTCTTGTAGAAGTCCCTTGGTTGGCCTTTAAACGCCCTCAAAAATGTCTATATATAGGGTCCCTTATAAACACAAATAAGGAAAACCAAAAATGTAACAAAATCCAACCTAGGTCTGCATAACAAGGATCCTGCTACATCTCATACGTCTTGACGTTTTTATTTGGGTGCACCTTGTTTGCTGAAACTCCCGGATTGGCATTCCTTTGTCTTGCATCTTTGTCCGAACAAGTTGTTGGCACAACTTGCTCAACCCTGGGTCGTGAATCTCCGGGTCGAAACTCAATCAGCTGTAAGACACTCTCTAGATGTTGAGGCGCTAAACCCTAAACCCTTCCCCTCAGGGTCTAGGGTTCGTGAGGTACGCCGGCCTTAGGTAGTTGGAGACGACATTGCTGAAGCGCATTACCAGCATTCCTGCCAGGACAACAACTTGTTCAGAGCAACAGAAACAACTGTCTGGTGGGGGAATGGATCCCTGCAGCAGTCCCTGTATAACCCCCCAAAATAGTCCCCATAATCCATTCCCGCATTCCCCACTAAGAACCAGACATCCCTTCAACGGTAAACACCAGAGTCGCGGTAACCACAACGCACAAAGTGAGGCAGCAAGAGCAGCAACGGGATCCTCATGAGTGGTAGCAGTAGCAGCAAAGTATATGGTGGCGACAGTACGGTAGGTAGTAGTATATTACAGTAGTATACAGTAGTAATGGTAGTAGTAGTAGTAGTAGTAGTAGCAGTAGTAGCAGTAGTAGCAGTAGTAGCAGTAGTAGCAGTAGCACTAGCAGTAGTAGCAGTAGCAGTAGTAGCAGTAGTAGCAGCAGCAGTAGCAGCAGCAGCAGTAGCAGTGGCAGTAGCAGTAGCAGCAGCAGCAGCAGTAGCAGTAGCAGTAGCAGTAGCAGTAGCAGTAGCAGTAGCAGTAGCAGTAGCACTAGCAGTAGCAGTAGCAGTAGCAGCAGCAGCAGCAGCAGGAGCAGGAGCAGGAGCAGGAGCAGGAGCAGGAGCAGGAGCAGGAGCAGGAGCAGGAGCAGGAGCAGCAGTAGCAGTAGCAGCAGTAGCAGTAGCAGTAGCAGCAGTAGCAGTAGCAGCTAGTACTAGTACTAGTACTAGTACTAGTACTGGTACTAGTAGTAGTAGTAGTAGTAGTAGTAGTAGTAGTAGTAGTAGTAGTAGTAGTAGTAGTAGTAGTAGTAGTAGTAGTAGTAGTAGTAGTAGTAGTAGTAGTAGTAGTAGTAGTAGTAGTAGTAGTAGTACTAGTAGTACTAGTAGTACTACTAGTTCTAGTAGTACTAGTGAGTACTAGTAGTAGTAGTAGTAGTAGTAGTAGTAGTAGTAGTAGTAGTAGTAGTAGTAGTAGTAGTAGCAGGAGTAGTAGTAGTAGTAGTAGCAGTAGTAGTAGTAGTAGTGGTGGTAGTGGTAAGAGTAGTAAGAGTAGTAAGAGTAGTAAGAGTAGTAAGAGTAGTAAGAGTAGTAAGAGTAGTAAGAGTAGTAAGAGTAGTCAGAGTAGTAAGAGTAGTAAGAGTAGTAAGAGTAGTAAGAGTAGTAAGAGTAGTAAGAGTAGTAAGAGTAGTAAGAGTGGTCGTAATGGGACTTGCAGGAGGACTGCCATCACTACCACTGTGACGGATTTTGCTGACTGCTACTTCAACTCGTGATCTTGCTGTTGCTCTCTTCTAGGGTGTACTGCTACTCTTGCTCCTACTATAGCTCGCCTAACCACCACTGCTACAGCAACTGCTTTTGCCGCTGCCACTGCGACTGCGACCACGACGACGACTACTGCTACTGTACTGCCACAGCGACATCTGCTGCCACTGCTGGGCGCCGGCTGTACAGCGGGACTTGCTAAGAAAAGCTGTTTTTTCACTGCTGGACAAGATGCGACCGTCTCCCAGAAAAGACTCATAACCCTAAACCCCTAAACCCTAATAAGCCCTAAACCCTAAAAGAACCCTACACCCTTAAACCCCCAAACTCCAAACCCCAAACCCTAAACCCTAAACCCGAAATGCCGAAACCCCTGAACCCCTAAACCTCGAAAACCCTAAACCCTAAACGCCTAAACTCCCAAACCCTAAACCCTAAACCCCCAAACCCTAAACCCTAAACCTCAATCCCCAAACCCTAAACCCCAAACCCTAAACCCTTAACCCCGAACCCCCCAATCTGCCCCCGAAAGCGGGGATTCAGGGTTTAGGTAGGGTTTAAATAGGGTTTAGGGTTTAGCCAGGCATGCGGTTATCAGAGGTCTACAACTACGTAAGATGACTCACAATTTCTCGTCCAGGTATGGGTCTGCAGTTCCAGGGCCTTGAGGGTTTTCGGTTTGGGGGAAGTCTTGGGCTTAGGGACTACAGGTACAGGGTTCAGGGGTGGGCGCGGGCCTTTGTAGTAGTAGCCCGTGAGGAAGGAGATGATGATGTCCAGATTCCTGATCGAAGTTGTCAAAATTATGGTCCCTTTTTGGGTCCCTATACAGTACGGCACCTAATATTTCGGATACCAAAAATGGGGAACCGTATTGTGACAACAGCATTGGATCGAAAGCATTGGGCCGGTTTGGGCATTGAAGCCTCAGGGGCCCAGGGCCCGAAACCGTCTTGGAGTTTGGAGTGTCGGGTTTAGGGTTTAGGGATTAGGGTTTAGGGTTTAGGGACTAGGGTTTGGGGTTTAGGGTTTGCTGCAAGATCGCGTAGCGGTAGTCCAACAGGGATTGTAGGATTTATTAGCGGTTTTGTTGCCTGCGAATTGCAGACATGGCCCGACTGTGGCGGGCCATCACATTACTCACCCACCTCAAACCTATACCTTTTAGGGTTTAGGACCTAAACTCTGTTAGGTCCATGTTTGTTAACAACAACCACACAATTCTGCAGCCAACTTCTGCTCAAAAAAGGGAGGGCAGAGGAGGGCAGAGTACGGGCGGCCGGAGCCCGCGGGGGCCAGGGAAGGCCAGGGGGGGGCCAGGGAGGGTCAGGGGGGGCGGGGCGGGGGGGCCGGCGCGGGCAGGTAGCGGAACGCAAAAAAGCCCGGATTTTGTCCACTAGGTCCTGGAATTCTGCTGGCTGGGGCTTCCAAGCCCCCCCCGGGGGGTCCCTTTTTGGGGGTGGCCAAACCAGCCCAGCGGCCTGCAGGGTAATGACTTTAATAGGGACCAGTACTGGTCCCGGGGAGAACGTGTCCCGGTACCGGGCCTAACGTGGGTGCTACAGTACCCCTGGCTGTGGGACGGAGGGCGAGCGTCCTGGATCGACCTACCATCGAAGGTGGGCGGCCTAGGCCTTGAGTTTAGGGTTTAGGGTTTAGAGTTTAGGGTTTAGGGTTCAGGAACCTTGAACCTGAAACCCCTAACCATCCCTGAACCCTAAGCAAACATGAACCCGCAGCCCTAAACCGTGAACCTCAACATCCGCACATAGCAGTATGGAGTTCTTAATGCGTGTGCATAAAGTTGATGTGATTGTGTTAAGAGTCTCTTGGGATGCTCCTTGCATTTCAGGATCGATTCTGGGATGTAGGGCTGCAGGTTGTGGGGGGTTGAAGTTGTTTGAGGTTTTGGGGTTCGGGTATCGGGCTTAGGATTAGGATATAGGGGTAGCGGGGAGCCACAGAATTTTCAGGAAACCCTGAAATCTATACCAACGCTCCTGACCCCCAGCCCGGTACTATCTCGGATGCCCAAGCTTCCAGTAAACCAGTGTCAACCACAGCATGACCTTGACTTTGCAGAAGCTGGGGCCACTTCAGGGATATGTTGGGTCTTCGGACCCAGTTTTTAAGGGTGTGGGTTTGCGCAAGCGAGCTATCACTTCCGTCACCCGGACAGGCTCAAGACCATAACTGTGGCCGAGGAGGCATGAATGATTGGCACAATACTACACCCCAGAGTTCCCATATATGTTTGTATGCCCAAACATAATGATGAAGGCCCCTCTACCAAACCCTTGCAGCAACCCTCATAGCTTTGTTGAAAACAAGCCTTAGAAGGAAATCTATGCTAGCGATTACGGCCACTCTGGGCCGCACCTCAAACCCCGCAAGCGCGGTGCCGCCAAAGCATTCAAATCTACTGTAGGGGCCTCAAGAACCACGGTTTAGGGTTTAGGTCTTGAGGTCTTCGTTACAGGGCTCCTTATATCGAATACTAAAAGGAGCATCATCCAAATATGGTTTCGGGGATATCACAGTATAACTATAGTCATAGTAAGGAACCCGACGAAAAGTATTGATAATGAATCAGGTCCACTCTAGTAGTCTTCTTCGTGTTGGCTTCTTGTTGCTCAACTGTGCGATACTGACGATGCTGTGTTTGACGATGACGACGGCGACTAATGCCACACCTGCAACAGGCACTACCACTGCACGATCGGAAAAAAAAACTATCATGTCCCGATGATTGAATATGAACTGTGCACGCAGCACTGCAGCAATCACGACGACAAGGATGCTCCTACTGCAACTACTGCGGCACAACTGTGTTGCTGCCATTGCCATTGCTCATTTGCTATCTCTGCAGTTGCCGCTGTTGCTGCTGCTGGTAGCATTCCTCATCGTTGCCGCTGTGCGGCACACAGAAGAAAAACATCTTGAACTCACCAGTTAAAACCCCGCCGTTACCGCGCTTTTGCAAGCTCTCGGCCGAATAACTAGTGTTGGATGAACATCGAAAAGCATCCACACATAAGGCTCAAAAAACCCTAACCCCAGACTCCAAATCCGTTGCCTTTACCACCAAACCCCCGAACTCCAAACCCTAAATCCCGGTCTTCCTGAAGCTTGATCACAACCGTGCCACATCGGAGAACGCTGATCGGGGTATGTCGAAGAAGCGCAAAGGAATGACGACCTCAACTCGCAAACCCACATGAGGCCATGGGATCTAGTGAACCTAGTGACTACTTGATCGGGGAACACGGGCACAATAAGGAGTTGAGGTTTGGGGTTGCAGGGATTAAGGGCCCAGGTTTCATTTCTAGAAGTGCGGAAGGCTGTGGGCTTCCGCAATAGCTCCTCTCCACGCTGTTGCCTGATCTCGTTTACCATAAAGTGATCAAAACACAGCGCTCTTTACCAGCTTCTTAACACGCATATATAACAAAACAAGGCAATCATACCACTTACTACACGTGATAGTAGGTAAAAAACAACAACGACAACAACAAGACAACAACAGCAGCAGCAGCTGCTGCTGCTGCCACTCCTACTACTACTACTACTACTACTACTACTACTACTACTACTACTACTACCACTACGACTCCTACTCCTACTCCTACTCCGGCTCCGGCTCCGGCTCCGGCTCCGGCTCCTGCTTCTACTGCCACTGCCACTGCCACTGCCATTGCGACAGCTACTGCTACTGCTGCTGCTACCGTACTGACTACTACTACGACGACGACTACTACGACTACTTCTACTTCTACTACGATGGCTGCTGGTACTACCAGTACTGCCAACCACTACGCAGACGAAGACGACGACCACGTACTACTACCACCATGCATCACCAGCATCAAAACCCGCACCGCCACTCACTCTCCAAGGCCATAAGTACTCACTGGAATCTTCACTACCACTGCAACTGTCCGGCTGCTCCCATTGCCTATGTATGTATGCTACCTTTCTGCTGCATGTTTCCCGTATCTCTAGGAACCCCAGAAATCACCGGAAGTCGATCCTGGAACGCCCAAGCCGACGAACCCCAGACCCTCAACACTAAACCCTAAACCCACTAAAAACTGCACCCCAAACCCCTAAACTCTGAACCCTAAACTCTAAACCCCTGAACTCTAAACCGTGATGATCAAACCGACGAGCCCGATGGCTGCGGCGAGCGGCCACGTCCCAGGTGAGAAACCTCAAGGGGATCAAAGGGACCATAAGGGCATGGGTTTAGGGTTTAGCGTTTAGGGTTTAGAGCTAATAGAGGGGCCTTAATAAGTAGAATAGGGTTTTATAGGAGCCTTAATGAGTAGAATAGGGTTTTATAGGGGCCTTAATTAGTAGAATAGGGCTTATAGGGGCCTCAATAAGTAGAAAAGGGTTTTGGGGTATAGAAAACTAGAGTTACAATAAGGAACCCCCACAATAGTATTGGTAATCATTCAGGCCCCCATATTACTTGCGCAGGGCTGTACAGGGGTTGTGTTCTGAGGCAACTGTTCAGATCCCTATCTACGGCGGGCATGTGGATGGCAGGCGTTGGGCACGAGTCGAGATTAAAACTCTGGCTCTACCCAGATGCCCCAAAGTAGTTCCTTTTTGGGATTACCCTATAGGATTCTATATACGAAGCCCAAAAAAGAACTACTTTGGGCCTATGGGTAGGACTCTGGATCAGCCATGCGGCTGTTGGCATCTAATTTCTGCCTCGTGCTTCGATCTACTTAAAGGCTCATGGGACTTAGTAAGTAAGGTTATAAGTAGGTTATGATTAGGATAACCCCACTTAGGGGACTTACAACCCCAGCGATAACCTACTTACTAAGTCCCATGATCCTTCAAGTACACGTTTTTCCAGCCGGGGGTTTCAACAGCAGTGACAGACAAGCATCCGGTAGTGTACAGCACCCCTGCTCAAGTTAAGAAAAGCCTTTGTATCACAGCTCATCCGGAGATTGGGTCAGGTAGAAACCCTCAATAGCAGGGCCCTTCGTAAAGACCCAACTCAAAGGAAAAGCCGCCGTGCAAAAATGGCCCGAGGCTTTAAACCCCTGAACCCTAAACCTTATGTAAACCCTAAAACCATCCTAAACCCTTTAAACTGCTGAATCCTTAAGGTCCCAAGGCCCTCAGAGCCTAAGCTCTGATCCCTGGCCAGGAAGCAGCATCCCGAACAAGCTCCAAATGGACCGGAAACGGCCGTTCGGATGAATGAGGATATTTTCCACACCTAGGCTTTGGGGTTTCTGGCGGACTAGGACTCAGGAGTTTGGCTGCATCAATAAGGCTTAGGGGGTTCGGTCCGGTGCTCGCAATCTCTCACAGCCCGGGAACCTTGCAGCAAGAAAAGGCGGCAAACATGCCTGATTTGAAAAACCTAAACTGAAACTGGAAAGCTGGGGAGTCATAGTTGCTAGAACCTACAGTAAACCCTTGCAACGACAATCCGCGATGATAATCCAGCCCTGGGCCGAGGGAGGAGAACCATCAACTAATTTCAGACATGGTAGTACGGCTCTGAAAGCACGACCCTTAAGCCCCAAACCCGAAACCCCAGCAGTTCTTTAACATCTTTCTTTTTCTTACCGGAAGGCCTTGAGGGTTTAAAACCGTCGGATTGACACTGGGATAGTTTCGGATTTGGAGGATCGATGGTCTCGGGCTTCAGGGATTCAGGGTTTGGGGATTCAGGGTTTAGGGATTTCACGGTTTAGGGTTTCAAGGTTTAGGGTTTCAGGACTTAGGGTTTCAGGGTTTAGGGTTTCGGGGTTTAGGGGTTCAGGATTTAGGGTTTTAGGATTTAGGGTTCAGGGTTTACAGCTGAGTAATCGAGGCTGTGCATTGCAGTAGTCCAGTTGGATTGTTCGTGCATCTGCAGGTAGACACGCTCCTCTTCGTTCTAGCGGTTCCCCCCTCTTTTCGATCACCAAACCAAAGATTTAAAAACACAAAACACCTAAAGACAAATGTAGGGTTTAGGGCCGAGTTGTAAACCCTAAACCCTGAACCCAAAGCCCTAGAGCCCTAAACCCCTGAACCCTAAACCCTGAACCCTAAAGCCCTAAACCCTAAATCCCGAACCCTAAGCCCTAAAGCCCTAAACCCTGAACCCTGAACCCTCAGCCCTAAAGCCCTAAACCCTAAACCCTGAACCCTAAGCCCTAAGGCCCTAAACCCTAAACCCTGAACCCTAAGCCCTAAACCCTGAAGCCCTAAACCCGGAACAGCTGAAGCCCCCAAGCCCTCCACGGAACTCAGCCAGCCCAAGGCGCCGGAGAGGACAGAAGTCCACGATGATCTTCCGACCTGATCTGAATCAGAGTGGGTTTCTGTAGGGTTCCTCTAAGGGTACCATACGGGACTATTAGGGTGTACGGGTAGGGGCTTAAGTTTAGGGTGTTAGGGTCTAGGGCTGAGGTTTAGGATTCCAACCTGATCCGCTTAGGACTTAGGACTTATAAGGCTTAAACCGCTTAGTTACATGGCTTATAGGGTTTATGGGCTTGTTGGGTCTATAGTGTTTGGAGTCTAAGGTTTGTGTTTAGGGTTTAGGGCTTTACGGCTTGGTACAAGGGTTTAGGGGTTTAGGGCTTAGGTGTGATACGGTTGATGATAGAAATCCTGCATTACCCATAATAAGGAATGTACCATAATTCTCACAATCTAGGGTCATAAAGGTAATGCAGGATTTATATCATCAACCGCAGGGTTTCGCGGTCTGGTGTTATATAAGGGTTTAGCAGTTTCGGGTTGACGGCTTGACGTTCCTTTAAAGGGTTCTCTAAGGGTTGGTATAAGTGATCTAGAAGGATACCCTTAATGATTAAGAGTAAGGGTCCGGTTTCGGGTTACGGGCTTAGGGGTTTAGGATTTACGGTGTAGGTGTTTAGAGTCTAGAGGTTCAACATGAAACTCCTGCTTCCATCACGTTTGGAACAGCAGACATGCGGAGCGCAGTCTTAGTCTAAATGCCAGCAGCACTATTTACATCTTATATATTTAGCCCAACTTCAGCAAAATACCACATCATTGCTGTGCGACTGAATATCGGATAAAGCCGAGACCGTATTGAACCTCAACTCAAGATTACAACGGCACTGGGCCATTTGATTTGCGGTGGGCTGCGCCTTCTGTCATAGTGGTGATGCGTGTTATGGGATCAGGGTTTAGGGTTGGGGGGGTTTGGGATTTCGAGGGTAAGGGGCTCGGGGGTTGTTGGGGTTGGCTCAACATAGTACTCCTAATCGCAAGCCCAGCTTGCACTGTAGTGGGTATGTAGTCAAATTATACCTGGTTCGCAGATTGTCGGCCAATAATAAAGTCTAGTTTTCAAGGTTAACTGGCTAAGTACACGACTGGCATAAATATAGTGTCGGTAGTATCGAAACAGCTCACTCCACATTCATGAGGAAATACAGGAGCAACTTCCGTGGTTTGCGCTGGTACTATATTCGCAGCACACCGGCAGAACAGCGTTCTTGTTCCAGCTCCTTCATGCCTTTACACTACTGCAGACATGTCATTTAGAGCTTTTAGATCTGCATCGCCATGATGCACGCAGTGACCTCAAGGGTGAATTAATAGCGTAGTTCTGTCAAATTCTGTTCGCACTGGGCTTCGCCATGTACGGATAACCGGTTACTCTGATCAAACAACACAGTGTTGCACTGTTTACTGTGAATCACCTGGGCATCAACACACAACTAGTTAATACCCGGCGATGTAGCGTTCGAGACCGAGAATGGTTCGTTCACTGCCCAACAATACTGTACAGCTTTTCACCAGAAACGTATCAGTGTATAACACTGCCTGACTATGTTATGTACTGAACAGACAGGGACGAACTGGCCCAAAACAGTTCGGGGTTTGAGAGCTACTGTACGGGGTAGAATTGTACGGAACCGGTCAAAAGCCACTATAATATACCATGAAATAAAGCAAAACAATGCAAAGTAAGATACTCTGACAAAATACTGACAATGTACTCCGAACCAGACCCGAAGCAAGGAACTCCGGCACAGCAGTCACCCTGAAGCCTGAACCTAAGCCCCCGAAAGCACGCACCCACAAACACACACACACACACACACACACGAACGACACACGACACACGACACACGACACACGACACACGACACACGACACACGACACACGACACACGACACACGACACACGACACACGACACACGACACACGACACACGAACACACACACACACACACGTGCGCACACACACACACACACACAAACAAACAAACACACAGACACACACAGACACGCACACACACACACACACAAATACACACGAACACACACACACACACACACAGACAGACGCAGACACACAGACACACAGACACACACACACACACACAAAGATGTATATATATATATATACACACACACGCACACACACACACACACACACACGCACACACACACACACACACACACATACACACACACACACACACACACACCACACACACACACACACACGCGCGCGCGCAGATGCACACATTACAACCCTAACCCAGACAATATGCAGTTCCAGATGCCGAGACCGAGGAAAAACCGCGGTGTCGTCGGGAGGAGTTGAAGACCTCTGGCGTCGCTCAGGGTTGGGGGTTGGGGGTTTAGGGATTAAGCAGTAGTATATTTAAAATGCTTTACATAGAGTGCTTTCATAAGCAAAAAAGCCCTTAAAATAATTCGCCAGATTTTGGTGTAGGGTTGAAATAAATTAAGCAGTAATTACTGTAAGGGTTTTAGGATCCCAGAATGAATGGCTCTGAACCAGGCGAGGCACGAAGATCAATGAGCCAGGTTTTCATGATGTTTACAGGGGTCTTAGGGTTTAGGGGTTTAGGGTCTTAGGGTTTAGGGTTTAGGGGTTTAGGGTCTTAGGGTTTAGGGTTCAGGGTTTAGGAGGGGTTTAGGGTCTTAGGGTTCAGGGCTTCAGGGGTTTAGGGTTCAGGGCTTCAGGGGTCTAGGGTTTAGGGCTTCAGGGGGTTAGGGTTTCGGGGTTAGGGGGCTCATGGCTTCGATTTGCATGTAGCTGTAAGTCGCACAAGGTAATTTTTCCCGCCCTAGCTAAGCTAGCTAAGGTGCTTGCAGCATCCCACCAATTAGAGTGCTTGCCAACCTGTAGCAACAACCCAGAAACCTTCAAATCAAGTGCCGTAGGACTCAAAGCTTAAACCCTAAACCCCTGAAGCCCTACACCCTAAGACCCTAAACCACTAGACCCCTAAACCCTTATAGATCCCCTTTAAAGGAACCCTATTAGCCCTACAGTTCAAGAGTAAGGGCCCGAAATCCCTCAGGCCGTGTGCTTGGGGCCTGCGCTACCTGTGTCAGGCTCGCGGGTGTCAGGATCTTCCTACTTGGGGGGTCGGGGGACTTAGTAAGTGGTTAGTAAGTAGACTTAGAAGTACCCTAAAAGGGACCCTAATTGGGTTTATGGTACTTATAAGTCCCTAAGATAACCAGTTACTAAGTCCCCCAAACCCTAAACCCTATACCCTTATAGAATCCCTATAGATCCCTTTAAAGGGGCCCTTAAGGAACCCATTATAGTTACTAAGTCCCCCGACCCTCCAAGTAGGTCCCTAGGATTCCTGCTGTTCCTCTGGCTATTTGAGGGGGTTTTAGGGTTTCGGGGTGTCGGGATTAGGGTTTAGGGTTTGGGGTTTCCAGGTTTAGGGCTTAGGATTTAGGGTTTAAGGCTTTCGGGTTTAGGTTGAAGCTTGTTAATGAAGGGGTTTCTTCAGTTTCTGAATGTCCGGGTTTGGGGTTCAGAAGGAGGCATGCTAGTGCTAGAGGCACGTTTCACAGCCTTGAAGCTGCAAGCTCCTAATAAGGTGCCATGATTCCATGACCCTAATCCCTAACCACCCCAAGGCATACAATTGCTGTTTAGAGTTTCGGGTTTAGGGTTTAGGCTTCAGGGTCCCGCCCTTGAGTCTGGAACCCTGAACGAACGACCAACAGTTCGCCTACGCCTAAACCCTCAACCTAAAGCGTTGGGAGGTTTATTTGGAGGGTCGGGGGACATAGTAACTGGTTATTTTAGGGACTTATAAGTACCATAACCCCAATTAGGGTCCCTTTTAGGGTACTTATAAGTCTACTTACTAACTACTTACTAACTCACCCGACCCCCAAGTGGGGGTTTAGGGATTACGGTAGCATCCCTGAAGGTTTTTGAACAGGTGCCAGGGTCCCGAACTGAGCCCCATGCCTAAACTAGCACTGAAGCAGGGTTTGGGGTTTAGGGGTTACCCTAAACCCTAAACCCTAAGGCGAACCAAATAGCTTGAGGCTTTGGGGCGAAAGGCCCGGTTCTCAGTTTATGGGTCCAGGGTTCAAGATCTGCAAAAAAAACAGACAAAGATGCGGTTTTAAGATCTAGCGAAATCCTACAATCCACTAAAACCCAAACCCTAAACCCAAATAACTCGCTAAACCCTGAACCATCAACCCAAGCTGACTGGCCTTGTGCGTCGCCGATGCTGCCGCCAGGTGGGGGTTAGAGCCCTGCCTGACTCTATAGACTTTAGGGCCTAAAGTAGCGCTTAGGGCTTTGATGCTACTTCTACCCCTCAATTAAAGAATGTTCCTTAATTTCTAGAGGCCTTAATTTCTGGTTTAAGGTATATTTCCGAATTGGGTCTTGGGATCTCTGGGAAGAGGTCCAGGAATTCAGCTTGAATTTGCCGATATTTTGACAGCTAAAGGGTTTAGGGTTAGGGTCACCTGAACGACGGCTTGTCGGTGCCGAGCAAGTGTAGGGTGTTGGGGTTTTGTATTGGCTATACAGGAATGTTACGGGGCATAGGGTTTTGGAGGCTCGGGCTCATAGGGTATAGGGCTTAGGGTTTGGGGTTTGACTTAAATTCATAGAAGACCTGTTTTTTTATGTAAGGGGTCCTCCTTTCCCAAGGATCATGGCTTAAACTTGAACTGTCTCCTGCCAGCTAAACCTACCTGACCACCGTACCCAAAGCCACGAAACAGCTGGAGGTTCGGAGTTCGAGGCCTCCTGCCTAAGCCAAAACAAACCTGAAGCCAAAAAGATTACAATCATAACCCAAAGCCATGAACCTCCAACTCAAGTCAAAGAATTACAACAAATAACCCCTGAAACCTAGACGCTACTTAGGGGGTCGGGGGAGTTAGTAAGTAGACATATAAGTACCCTAACAGGGACCCTAATTGGGGTTATGGTACTTATAAGTCCCCCGACCCTCCAAGTAAACCCAAAACCCTCAACCCTAAACCCTAGACCCTAAACCCCTAAACCCCTAAACCCTAAACCCCAAACCCTAAACCCTAAACCCTAAACCCCTAAACCCCTAAAACCTAGACCCTAAACCCTCAACCCTAGACCCTAAACCCTCAACCCTAAACCCGGAACCCTAGACTCCACAGGCCCCAAGTGCCCTACAGAACCTTCATCGAGCTCTCATGATCTCCTGAAAAACGAAAAGGCTTTCTGAAGCCGTCTAGAACCAGAGATCCCAATCACTATCCCTGAATTTAGGGATGTATTAGAAGGGGCCCCCACCCTTGTAATGGTGACCATAAGGATTATATAGGATTATATTAGGGCCCTATTATATTCCTATTATACCACTATTACAGGGTGGGGGCAGCTTCTAAGGGATATACCTTAAATCATAGTATTAAGGCCCCTAGAATCTATAACCGGAAGCGCCAAACCCTGAAGAGTCAAAGCGAAGCCCCAGCCACCGCCGCCAGTACTCCCGTGGTTCGAAGTGCATGGCCTTGCGCGAGGCCGCCATCTTTCTATGGAACCAAGGTTTTAGGGTTCAGGGTTTAGGGTTTCGGGCTATGTAGCCAACGGGACAAGACAGTAGTTTGGGTTTTCAGGTGTAAAGTTTCGGGTTCCGAGTCTATGGTCTGGGGTTTAAGGGGCGAAGACAATGTGCATGTGCACGACAAGATGAAGATAACGCTAGCGATTCCAAAACAATGAACAACAGTGCAAGTTGCTCTGTCTGCGTATGATAAACCCTAAACCCTAAACCGTTTTCGGATCTGGTATTGCCAGGAGAGGCACGAGATGGACGGCTCGGCAGACATTTAGACAAGCGGACAGCCGGATAGATTTATGTATCGATCGAACGAGGGGTAGGAAGGTAGCTAGGAGGTAGGCGGTAGGCACGTCGGCGGGTAGGTAGGTGGGAGAAAGAAAGAAAGAGAGAGAGAGAGAGAGAGAGAGAGAGACAGAGAGACAGAGACAGAGACAGAGACAGAGACAGACACATGCATCGCATCGAATATGCATACCGACCCTGCACCCTAAACCCTCAACCCTTAACCGTGCCTAATATGGGTAGTTCTCTAAATGACTGTTCTTTGTTGTTTGGTGCCGTACTATTTGAGGGACCCAAAATGGGACCATTTTGGGGCCAATGTAGAACCCTGATAGATGCCCTGAAGGGACCCTACAAACGGACTATAATTTAGAGAACTTCCGATTATGTAGGGGCCTTCATAATTCCCTATACTATTCTGGTGGCTCCCTACTATAATATAGTATGATATAATATCCACCAAAACCTTACTCTCAGTATGAAGGCCCCTACATTATAGTACCTTATAAATCCCTTATAGTAACCCTTATATACAGCCCTTTAACGAAACCCTATTATAGCTAGTAAGGCCCCTATATGATGTGCACCGATCTGGGAAGAGCGCTGAACCCTAAGCCCTAAACCTTAAACCCAAATAACCTACCTTTTCAAGGATTCATATAAGGAATCATAATAACGAACCCTAAAAAGGCAGGTTCTTCAGGGTTAAGGTAAACCTTAAACCGGGCCTCCTCTGGGTTCACGGTGACCATCGCCTCAAGGTCTTTCGAGGTCAGCGTTGCCTGGCTTATCGAACTTGATAGGCTTTGTCTATACCCGCCCTTAGAACCATAATAAGAATAATGTGTTTAATATTCTCTTGGGTTTTAAATGAACAAGAATACACCATAATTCCTAAGGAGACTATAGTTATGGGGTTTAGGGTTTAGGGTTCAGGGCTTAGGGTTCAGGGTGTAGGGTTCAGGGCTTAGGGTTCAGGGTTGTGGGTTTAGGGTTTAAGCGGGCTTTGGGGTTCAGGGTTGAGGGCTTAAGGTTTAGGGTTCAGGGGTTCAGGCTTAATTAGGGCAGGTCGTGCGGCCTGTGGTCGGCCGTTTCGGCTGCTCAAGCAGGATCACAGTTAAAACCCTAATGCTTTCAAGCCCCCTAAACCGCTTAAACTCGAAATACTCGACACTCTTAAAATCCGCAAATCCTGAACCCCAAAGCCCTAAACCCAAAACCTCTAAACCCCGAAACGCCAATGAACCCCAAACCCAACTACGCTGAAAATGGCCAACAAAGGATCCCGAAGCGACTAAAATCTGCGCCTTGATAAATAGACTGCCCAAAGACTCCAGTATACTTTAACTAAGGACTATACCTTAAATTATAGTCGGATCCCTAATATGGTTTAAAGTATGTTTCTTGATCAAGGGATATTGGAGTCTCTGACTAGGGCTCCTCAAAAGGCTCCTTCTACAGGGTTCTAGACTAAGGTCCCTTACAGGGTTCTCTTAAAGGGCTCCTTAAGGCTTACGGCTTAGACTAGAGTTCCTTGAAGGGTCCCTTTACAGGGTTCTGGAAGGGTTTCTACAAGGTCCGAGCCTAGTTCAGAACCTGTCCGTGAAAGGCTTCTACGGTTCTATGAAAAACTTCCTCGAAAACTCTGATTTAAAACGCTCAGCAGTGGGCCGTAGCTACATACCCTCTCCTCGGCACCCCAAACGAAACCCTAAACAGTCAAAACTCCCCCAAATCCCTACACTCGAAGCTACAAAGGATGTAGTACGCCAAAAGTTAGACTGGGCCCTAAACCCTAAACCTTGTCCAAAAAACTAAACTCGACGACACGGGCCGTCTTGCGGGCTTCGCTCGGCGCGTTTGCGCTTTGCACATCGAAGGTGACCTTCCTCTGCACAGCGCGGACAAAGTCGTCCTCCAAGGTTGGGACATACCTTAACCTACCAAAACCTGCACAAAAGTAGGGGCCTATATGAGGGTTTATAAGAAGAACCTACAGAAAGGTAGGGTTTGGTAGGTTAAGGTAGGGCTGAGGGTTCAGTGTTCAGAGTGGGGCGTTGGGCATTTAGGCTTGGGTCCTTCGAGTTTTAGGGCATCTAGGATTTAAGGCTGTAAGGTTCTAGGCTGGCTTCAGGGTTTAGGGCCCAGAGGTGCATGCCAGAGAGAAAAATCAACAGATAGATAGTAGAAAGGTATGTAGACAGACGACTGTACAGATACACAGATACACAGATAGATAGATAGATAGATTAGATAGATAGATAGATAGACAGACGAATACGTAGTGGTTGGGAAAGACGGTAGGTAGGTAGGTGGTGGGTGGTAGGTGGTAGTAGGCGGTAGGTGGCAGGTGGCAGGTGGCAGGTGGCAGGTGGTAGGTGGCGTGGTAGGTGGTAGGTTGTCGTTGGTCGGTGGTCGGTGGTAGGTGGTAGGTGGTAGGTGGTAGGTGGTAGGCAAGAGTCAAGGAGGTAGGTAGAAGGTAGTAGGTACGTAAGGAGATACGTAGGTCGGTAGGTAGGTAGGTAGGTCGGTAGGTAGGTAGTCAGGTAGGAAGATAGATGGGTAGGTAGTCCAACAGATAGATACACAGATGGACAGAGAGGTAGACAGATCAAGGCAGGTATGTAGGGACACGCATAGTGTGCTTGAATTTGTTTGTGTGTGGTGGTGGGGGCGGTGTCTGTGTGTGTGTGTGTGTGTGTGTGTGTGTGTGTGTGTGTGTGTGTGTGTGGGTCGGTGGGTGTGTTTGTGTAGGTTGTTCTCGTTCGTGTAGCTGCTTCCTACATGGTGCCCATGCCCGGGGATGCTGAGGCTCAGACTCCAGATGAGGAACCATCAGGAATAACATTATTGATTGTGAAGGCCGCTATATTGGGTGGGAGGCCCTATGGCAGTGAGTTTGCTCTCGGCTTCTCCAGTTTGTACAGACTGACCCTTCGTCCGACCTTTGTCCCATTCCTGCCTAAGTTTACGATTCAGGATTTCGGGATGTAGGGTTGGGAAGGGGGGGTAAGTGTTAGGGGTTTAGGTTGTAGGACTGAGGCTGTAGGGTTAAACGACACACTGCTCCTTGAAGGCAGGATCGCTCCACCTTGCTTTCGACCTGCTGGAAACCTGCAAAAAGTGAGGTTGGAACGTGCCTTTGACAAACAAATGTCAGTTTATGCAGGGCTTTGTGCGGTCTGTAAATGGGTTGCACAGGGTGTTGGGCGAACATACCCCTGTTTGCTCAACAGCCCATGGCCACAATCCTCATTTGGGTTCTAAACTCGTGGTTGTGCTCTGTCCTTGAACGTTATAGTAAATGGTACATAGTATATAGGATATGTAGTAGATAGTCTATAGTCTATAGTAGTATGAAACCTATAGTACATAATTCATAACAGATAGTACATAGTGTGTAGTGTATAGTGTGCAATATACAGTACCGGGATGACCAGCCCTCGAAAGGTGGAAACCTGGGCCTTTTGGCAAATGTGCCACTTACTCAACTATGAAGTAGTCAGGGCCGAGGGCTTTCGGCCTAGGGTTTTAGGGTCTTCATTTTTAACTTTAAGGTTTACTATGAACTAGGACGCCCAGTAACCTGGGAATAAAAAGGGCTCCCTTGTTGGCATTAGGTCACTGTATAAGGGAATAAGGGTATTCCTGGGCATCCCTCTGAAGTAGTCAGGGCTGAGGTTTTCGGCCTAGGGGTTTAGGGCTTTAGTTTTGTGATCATTAGGTTTTACTTGGACCCTTTGCCGTATTGCTGCTGGTGGCTTGGGGGAGGGGAGCCGGGGGCACCACTTGCTTCTGGTGATGTCTTCGACTATGAATCACACACACCCTCTCCAGATCCCGCAAAACCTGTACAGAGCCAAGTAAGCAGACGTCCAGCTCCGGGCTACGCGTGGATCGACTCCAAAGCTCTCTCCCCCAAACGCTCGTGAATGTCTCGGCTTGAGCTTCGGGTTTAGCTTAGCACCGCGGGGTTGGGTATAGGAAAGCGAAATCTATACCCCAAACCCTTACCCTGCCCATTCCCACAGGGGCCGGATTGCTGATCTGCCGCTGGAACGTTTCCATAACAAACGCAGGCAGGTCTGGTGGCTCTGGCGTGGGTCCTGTTCAGGATGTTAGGAAGTTTGGGCTTGTGGTTTGATGTTGGGGGAAGGTTAACGAGCTTACTGGATTCAGATGTCGCAATTGATAGGGTCCGAACCCGGACACCCAAACCCGAAAGACTCAAGAAAAAAGGTAGATGTAGTAGTCTAACGTTTGTTCGTGTCGTATGTTTACATCTATCTGCTCCTGAATATGTACATGTATATACACACACGTACACATGCACATGCACACAGACCCATACTGTATATATATATATATATACACACGCATACATACATACATGCATACATACATACACATGCATACATACATACATACATACATACAGACATACATACAGACATACGTGCATACATACACATACATATACATGCACCCATTCATACATACTTACTTTCTTACTTACGTACTTGAGTACTTACCTTACATTACATTACAATACGACAGACATAAAGCAGGCAGGCTGGCAGGTAGGTAGGCAGGCAGCAAGCCAGCCAGACGGCCAGGCAGACACATATCTACATGTATGTGTACATTTGTATATACGTAATATGTACGTGCTTTTTATCCATTCGTTCGGTTCCCTAACTTCTGCACATCTATAACTACAGGCATTTACCTACCAGCAAGCGTGGGTATGTGTTCGTGTGTGTGTGTTTGTGTGTGTGCGTGCGAATGTACATACAGGGTTCGGTTAGTTAGTTGAGGTTCTGATTAATCGTGCAGCCGATAGTACTCAAGTGATGCATGCCCGTCCGTACAAAGCACTATATCCTGCTGCTCACATGATGTACATCACCATCTATCACAAAAGCAATAAGCCCTCAACCTCAAAACCAGAATCCCCTAAGCCTGAAGTAAAGCCTTGACCCAAAAATCCAGAAATCGCGGCCCGTGAAAACCTTGAACCTGACCTAAACCAACCAAAAATTAAATCAAACCAAAAACTGGAGCGCTGAGCCCTCGGATCTAAAGAAGCACGCCCTGAGCCCGGAACACTGAAACCCAAATGAACCCTGAACCTAAAAGCCCCAGCACATCCCGACGACCACGCAAAAAACAAAAAAAAACATACACACACACACACACACACACACGCAAAACAGCCTGAAAGGCAACCTAGGTTCCGAAGCCAAGCCTAAACCCTAAACCCGAAACCCTAAACCCCAAAACCCCTAAACCCGAAACCCTACATCCTAAACCCTAAGCCCTAAACCCCAAAACCCTAAACCCTACAACCCCTCCGTCCTACGGACTTGAAGGATCGCGGTGGCAGCGGCTCTACGGGCGCGTGGCCGCCCCAAGCCGACTTCACCTTGATACCTGGGCACCACTTGGGGGGTCAGGGGACTTAGTAAGGGCTCCTTTAAAGGGGATTCTAAGGGTTCCTTTAAAGGGATCTATAAGGGTAGTATAGGGTTTAGGGTTTAGGGGTCGGGGGAGTTAGTAAGTAGTTAGGAAGTAGACTTATAAGTACCCTAAAAGGGACCCTAATTGGGGTTATGGTACTTATAAGTCCCTAAAATAACCAGTTACTAAGTCCACCGACCCTCCAAGCAGGAGTTTCCTCATATAGGGTTTAGGGTTTAGGGTTGCAGGGACTAGGGTTTTATGTTTTAGGGTCTAGGGTTTAGGGGGTATACCGGCCAGCATGATGAGAGAGGGTTTGAAGGGGCCACCCACCATAAACACAAAAGTGGGCTTAATAAGAGAAGAAGGCTTCGAGGGTGATAAGATGTTTCCACCGTAGTTATAATAAGGAACCCTGAGAACTAAGAAGGAACCCTGAGAACTAAGGCTTCTGTGACAGGCTTGAGCGTGTGCAAGGCCTTTGGCTTCTTGGGTTTCGGGTTTAGCGCTGTGGCAACTGGAAGAGGGCTTTGGGGTATTGACAGGATCATGAAACTTATGCGGGAACTACAACGGGACACTGCTGCTAAATATGTATTCCGACCTCTGTACTGTACCATACAATGAAGTTCTTTCCGTGGTTTCCATGTTGTCTTGTTTTGTTGCCAAAGTAGACAACAACTGCAAACAAGGAAATACAGTTGAGACTACAGGTAGACCTTAATGGTAACTGTTTCTCAAAAAAGCTCCTCATCCCAGCATGGGCTTTGTTGTTGGCCAGGGTAAGGAAGCCCCCCCTCCGTTTCGGGCTTATGGTTCAGGCAGGAGGGACCTGTGAATCGCCACCATGCTATCTCAAGGTAAAGTCGACACCAACATCAGAGAGGGTGCAACCAGAAACCAATGCTTGGTGAGGGCAACATCGCTGGCTCACGAGCAACACACCGACGAGCCCCGCACCGTGCTCCCCTGATACCTGCCCTAGCAAGAGGTGCGAAACCTCGAACTCTAAGGCACAAACCCAACTGAACCCTGAACCCTCCTAAACGCTAAACCCTCCTAAACCCTAATACCGCCTGACGCCAGAAACCTCGAAGTGCCCGCCTCCCGCATCCTCTCCGACAGCTGCGCGAAATCGGCGCATAGCCTGGTCCAGGGCTCAGGATCCAGGTTTACCTATAGTCTCCATTGTGGCTCCTGTTTTTGGTTAACCAAAATCTCTGTTATAGGGTCCTAACCAGAAAATTGGATAACCAAAAAAGGAATTACAATGGAAACTATAGGTAGGGAACAGAGTTGCTTTGGGGTTTAGGGTTTTTTTGGGGATTCAGTTAGGCTTTAGGGTTTAGGGTATAGGGTTAAGGGCTCGGGGTTCATGGTCCAGACGTGTGCAGAAGCAGTAGTGTCGGGGGCCTTAATGCTTCAAGCAGTGTTCCTTACAGAGTTCTATATGGGTGGTTGTCAAAACTAGGGTCCCTGTTGGGGTCCCTATGATAATACGGCACCTAATATTTAGGGTACCCCAAAAAAGGGACCTTAATTTTGACAACCACCTATATGGGTTACTACAGGCTCTCCTAGGGTTTAGTATAGGGGCTTTAATTCGGCTTTAATAATTCAAGTTGGGATTGAGGGTTTCATCGTCATACTACGGAGCCCAAAGAGCTTGACACCCTAGGACGACATACATCAACAAACAGATCGCCGGGAAGATCCATGTAGAAAAGGCGGTGCCTCCCTATAAGCCTGACCCACAAGCACGAGCCCGACTGCATGAAGAGCAAAACTAAGAAATCCCAAACCCTCGACCCAATCGACAAACATTCTTCCATCCTAGGCTCCAAACCGAAACGTTAAACAACTCCTGAAAGCAAAATTCTGCTCCTGAGCAGCCTCTTCCTATATGGCTACCCCTTTTCCTGCTATTCAGTTTTAAAACGGGAACCCCCAAACAAAAGGGCAAAAGGGTACTACTCAGGAAGCTAGAAACCCTGAACCCAAACCAGGATACGGACGCCGAAACCCATGAGTCTCCCTACCCTAGGCACAATCCAAATCCCTCAACGACTCATAGGATCCCGACAATAGAGGGGCCTGAATAAATAGAATAGGGTTTGGGGGGTATAATATACCATAATCAAAATAAGGAACCTCCCAAAACAGGCCCACGGAATTATCAAGGCCTCTATATATGAAGTCTCCTACCACATTTTACATTATGAGGACACCCTTTGGCTCCCCGAGTTGCAAGAAACCCTGCGCTGCCAAACCCAATGCCGTTCACATCCTTTCGAACCCTAAAGCCCCCACTGAAAGAGCCAGATTGAAAGTTCTTTGGTAGCTAAACGTAGAGTTCCAAGAAGGGGCCACAAAAGTGTGCCTAGGGTTTCGAGCTTCGGTGTTTCAGGGCTTGGGGTTAAGGGACCTAGGTATGATCTATACTGAACTTAGAACCCTAGCAAAAATTATAATTTTAGCTGTTTCTTAGGCTAAGATTATAATAACCAAAGATTCAAAATTATTTCTAAGTACCCCTAAGTGATCATATCGATAGCTACCCACCCTGAGCCCCAAACCCCCAGCCCCGAACTACTTAGAGGGTCGGGGGACTTAGTAACTATAAGGGGTTCCTTAAGGGCCCCTTTAAAGGGATCTATAGGGATACTGTATAAGGGTTTAGGGTTTAGGGTTTGGGGGACTTAGTAACTGGTTATTTTAGGGACTTATAAGTATCATAACCCCAATTAGGATCCCTTTTTTAGGGTACTTATAAGTCTACTTACTAGCTACTTACTTAATTCCCCCGATCCCCCAAGTAAACCCAAAGACTCAGCAGGCCCTACTCTACCCCCAAAACTCCGTCGCAGTGCCTGTGAGCTCTCACCGAAGCCAGCACTTCCTCACTTTCGATTGATCCGGGTACTTGCAGGGGCCCTGGTTTTACAGACTGGAATAGGTTTGGAGGCGATTTTGTAATACAAAAAACATCGGCATTCCAGTGTTTCGGGTTTAAGAGTTTAGTGGTTTAGGGTTTTGGGGTTCAGGGTTCTCGATTTAGAGTGCCAGGTTTCGGGTTTAGGGCTAGGAATCCGTCTCAAGCAAGCATGTAGTTTTTGGCTGCTGGGTACTTACAGCCTACTTATTCTGCGATCATCAACTAGGATGCCCAGTAACCTAGGAATAAAAAGGCTCCCTTGTTGGTATTGGGTAGCTTGACAAGGAACCTAGGACTACAAAAAAGGGAATAAGTGGTACTACTGGGCATCCTAGTCAACGTGTGGCTTGCAAGCTTGTGCATTCACCCATGTCTGGGTCAAGGAGCATAACTGGGGCCCCAAAAAAGCACATACGCACAAATAAGGATAGGGATATCCCATATAACCCCCCTTATAAAGAAGCCCAATAAGGTAGGGATATCCCTATAACATGCTTATGCTTATGTGCTTTTTGGGTCCCTGAAAAAGGTGTCCAAACGACTTGGGATGAGGGCTTAAAGCCTACGGCAGAATGGCGTAAGGCTGCACAGACAGGAAGTTGTGCATTTCAGGGGCAGAAAAGGCCTCGGAGCCTGGAGCAGCTCTCAGTAACGATTCGTAGGGTGTTTGCAATGGCACGTTGTGGAATGGAAAGAGGTCCAGGATGCGTCCTTTCAAGGTCTTGCTAAGGCTTGGAGGGATTTAGTCTCTTATGCTTCGTGGCAAGTCGGTCCAGCAGGTCATGCGGCACAGCTTGCTGGCACACACACTTTTGTGCTCCCTCAATGAGCTCCTCTCCTTTGACGTTACGCCATTCAAGCCGCTCATTGTCTATGACTGCTGTGCCTTCGAAGTGCAAGATAACGCTCTGTCCGTTGTGGCTGACAAAGTCAGCGGGCCATTGACGGATGAGCGTTCCTTGCAAGGCCGAAGGACACCTTGGGAGCGTGTGGTCGCGCGACCGACTGGATCACGGAAATACCTCCACTGCTCGAGTTCGCAAAGGGTGCTTGGAGGTTCATGGTCAGTTATAAGTAGGGTTATAAGTCCCTCATTATGCGTCAAGTATAGCTACCCTACTTATAACCCTACTTACAACTACCCCAAGTCAGTTCCGCGGTTTAGGCCTCAGGACGTAGGGCTCGGTGGCTCAGGCTTTGTAAGTCTCATGGCGTGGAGTCAAAAAATTGTTTTGATCGGGTGCAACGCTTGGTCAGATCATGCCCTTATTTCTGTTACTCTCTGATATACTTATATTATAACCCTCAAAGCACCCTAACCCCTCCTTTCAAGCCGTAAAGCAGCTCGAGGGTCTAGGGTTCCTCGCCGGGCCTATTGGATCAAGATGGGTCAAGGGTCTGCGAGGCCAAAACCCTATACAAAACCTACGGTTGATGATATAAATCCTGCATTACCTTAAGGACCCTAAACTATGGGAATTACGGTATATTCCTTATTATGGGCCATGCAGGATTTATATCATCAACCGTAGGTTTAGGGTTAGGGTTTGCAACTTCTCACCGTTCATAATACTCGGATTCTCAACGGCCCCTAACTTGATCGATCCCTCGGACAAACTCAACAGAAAGGAGATGTTGCGCGCAATACAAAGCCAGCCCCAATTCCCCAAATTCCCTACGCCTGAACCCTAAACCCCAAAACCCCAAACCCGAAACTCAAATATGCAAGGCCCAAGCCCCTGCCCCAAGCGCAATTCTGCGATAAAGCACGGGGTTTAGGGAACATGGCTTAGGGATTCTCCCATCATTGTGCCCAGAGAGTAGGATTCGCACTGTAAAGCCTTCAAGGATAGAAAGAGTCGAGCTGCTGTAGACATCGGCACGGTAGCATTCACCCAACCGCCGGTGCAACTCCCAAAATTCGTCGCCTGCGATGTGGCAACTCTGCTTCTCTGCAGGGAGGGTGTCCATTTACCGGTGCGCAGTACAGGGCCTTATGGTATAACATTAATATTATGAGACTATAACTGTGAATCTAACGGAACACGATCACGATGTTCAGACCCCCATATTGATTATGTATCGTAATCCGGATTACGGGGGGTCCTCGTTCTGGTTGTTGTGGGATGCGCGGTTTTGGTTAGGTTAGGTACTGGTTTCACACAAAGCCGCATTTGTAGGTAGTGAGGCTGCGTATCACTGTTGTTCTACAAGGAACTCTCAACGGAAAAGCGTTTGCTTATGCAAATGTCAGCTGCATGGACATGGAGTTTGGAGTTTAGGGTATTTCGGGCGCAGCTGTAGGAGGGTTGAATCTTAAAAAAAGTTTCCTTTAGGGGGCTTAGGCTTTGTAGGGCTTGGGATTGGGAATGTCTATGCTAAAACAAATCACGAACTGCTGCTAAAGCCGTCTTAGTGCCTGCCGGACTGCTTGCCCCTTGGTTACTTTTACTTGGTTGACTTCTGAGCCCCTCCTAAAAGTTAAACTTTTAGCTTCCTTATTATGGTTCATATAGAAACCCAAAACGTTAAAGTCTAAAGAGCCAACCAGAAGAACGCCAAGTTTAGAAGGCCGAAAAGTCCAACTAGGCTTTTAGCGATGAGGGCGAGACATGGGGCTTCACAGCCTCAAAGATACAACCAAACCCTAACCCTACACCCCTAAACCCAACACCCTGAACCCCTAAACCCTAAACAAAACCCTAAACACTAAACGACCGGCGAATGCCCTGCATCGTTCAGCAAGGGCCTTTGTGGAAGAAGGGCCACATGAAACCAGCAACAGATGGGACCGGTTTAAGGATGAGGGTGTTGGGTTTGGGAACCCTTGATATGATTTCCTTAAATATACATACGTCCGAAACCCTAAACCCTAAACCCTAAACCTCATGGTGAAGACAATATGAGCATGCAGGGAACCAAGGCTACCCAGGCCTCCAAGCGACAGCATTGTGCAATCGGGATGCGCGAAGGAATGTGTCTGTATCTTTTTTCTTAGGGAGGTAAGGGGGTCTGGGGTCGGGGGATTGGGAATCTGTCATCCTCCCCAACCCCCCAAATTCTTGAACCGTCAGTCCTACAGCTTTGAGAATGTTTTAAAATCCTCCGACTCCGACTCATAGCCAAGAGGAGTTTCATATATAACTGCCATGGCCGATGTCCTTGAACCTGCAGGGCTAGATACACTGCCATGTCCTCCGTGCAGTAGCAGCAGGAACTAAGCCCTAGACCCTTGCACTCACAACAGTCGCTGGCTGTATCTGAAGATCCTGATACAAAGACTAAGCCCAAAACTCCCTGGCCACCTATAAAACCCAACAACCCAACAGTCTCTAAATCTCAAGACCCGAAACTCCTAAGGAATCCCGAATCCTTGTAGAGTAGGCTGAGCTTCTAGGATCTGGGTTTCAGGAAAGCTCAACGGTGTGTGTAAATATACATACAAATGAATATAAACTTTGTATTTGACATTATTGCTACTGTTGTATACTTACAATTACAATACACATACGAGCAATATATCGTGCCAGGGTTTGAGTTATATATAGTTTCCACGATTTCGGTTTTAGGGTTTACAAAATTAAAGTTTAGGGTTTGAGATTGTGGGTTTATGGGTATAGGGTTGGAGATTGAGGCTGTAGGGTTGAGTGTTCAGGGAACAAGGTGGGACGGAATGGTTGGGATTTCAGAGAAGGCGGCGTGGGCAAGGCTTTCGGGTGGTCCTCAAACTGTTTAGGGTTTGGAGTTTCGGGCTTAGGGTTTCGGATTTAGGTTTCGGATTTGGGTTTAGGCTTAAGGCTTTTGAGTTTTGGGTTGCATCCAAAACCAAAGTTGCGTGAAACTCCGGATTGATAGAAACTTCACTATTCGACATCTGAAACCCATGCACGAGCACTGCTGAGAACACAAAGTACCTCAGCAAAAGAAGACATTACTTGGAGGGTCGGGGGACTTAGTAACTGGTTATTGTAGGGACTTATAAGTACCATAACCCCAATTAGGGTCCCTTTTAGGGTACTTATGAGTCTACTTACTAACTACTTACTAAGTCCCTGAACCCTAAACCCTGAACCCCAAAACTACCCTTATAGAGCCCTTTAAAGGAACCCTTAGAATCCCCTTTAAAGGAGCCCTTACCAAGTCCCCCGACCCCCCAAGTAATCTTTCCCTGAGCCATGCACCTCATTGAAAGTCTTTTCTCCGCCGGATCTCCAAAACGTTACAACCCCAGATTCCTGATTCCTAAACCCTAGTTGCTGAGTTCATAAGCATATATTATATGGGCACATGGAGCTTTAGGGGTAGGTTCAGGGATTAGGGTCTTTAGGGTTTAGGGTTTAGGGTTGAGGGTTCAGGGATTACTTAGTTGTTAGATTCATAAGCCCCCAAAACTGTACACTTTCAGTTTTCAGTGGGTAATATTATCCCAAAAAGTGTGAAGTGTATCCACTCCACTACTAAGAAACCCTTAACCCTAAACCGCCATCCGACCAGCTGCCAACTGAGAGCTTCTGTTGACCCCTCACCCAGACCGCCCACATAATAGAAGAGCCTGAATATATAGAATAGGGCTCTGGGGTGTATAAGAGCACATTAAGGAAAAGTGCTAGTACGAGTAGTCGGCCCTTCCGGTGCAGTGTCAAGGGTTTAGTTTTACGAATCAGGGTTGCAGGTTGGCCTAAAGCGTTTATTCAAAATTCTAAACGGAAACAGCTGAAACCCAAAACATGATAAACCAAAGCCCAAAACAAGAAAACACAACCCGATACTAGAAGCTCAGAAGCCTTAGGGCTTAGGGTTTAGGCACCCCAGGCCTGAAACCGTAAGCGCTACGCAAGGAACCTTAGCTTCAAACCGTTTGACTACATGGGAGTTTCAGAAAGCAGCGCCTACATAAACCCTGAACAGTAGGATCCTCACTAGGTGGGAAAAAGCTCACCCTGAACCCCTAAATGAACCCTACTTGCTCAGAAACACCCTGAGAGCTCCGAGGACCCGTCGGGGGCGCCGGCGCAGCACAGTGCACACGCCGTGATGTGTTCCGAATGGCACCTCGCAACATGCTTTTGCGTAGGATTGATGATATAAATCCTGCAGCACCCTAAGGACCCTAAAGTATGGGAACTTTGGTAAAACTTATTATGGGTCATGCAGAATTTATATCATCAACCGTAGGGTTGAGGGTTTAGGGTTAGGCCTTGACTTTCCTCATTGCAAAGGCAGGCAGCACTCTTAGAAGTACAAACTTTTCTCTTGCAGAGCTTCGTGTCAAGGGTGCTCTATAAGGGCTACTACAAGTGGGGTGACGACACGGAGCTCGTTGAGGGATCTGCATTAACTAGGAAATGTGCTGCACGTCAAGTCCACCGTCCCAACTATCAAATCCACAGGAAAGCCCCTCTTTGAACAGTATACCCTAAGTTTACCGTAATCCTCCCTTTCGCTCGTTTGTATTTCAGAAGCAGCTTTTCCGCTCTGGTGGCGGAATTACAGAGCTTTTCACGGGCTTGGGCCGAGCATTGTGCCAAGCGCCTGCCCAAAGTACTTTGACCAGGTGGAGTTCTATGCGTACCTGGCGGTTCCTCAAAATCATGTACGATTGCTATGGACGAGGTCGCTTAGTGCTCCTGGGCCCCCCAAGTACTTGTGAATAGGTGCTGATATAATCTCACCACCTGAGCTGAGCAGTGGTATCCAAAGGCTTGAAACTAAACCAAAACCTGAACCCCAAAAGGCCCAAAACCCTAATGTAGGAACCTGATCAAGAAACCTTGAGCTTTTATTAGGGTTCCTACTATTTTGGGCTCACAGGCTCAAGGTCTCTTAATCAGGTTCCTACATAAAACCCCAAAGCCACAGCCCAATACCATGGCTCCCCAAACCCTAACATCCTGAACCCTCTCCCTCAAACCTTGAACCATAGCCATTCTATCATAAGGACCGTTAGGGGGGGCAGGGCGAGGGGGCGGGGGGGGGGATAGGCGGCCTTAATACCTATACCAAAGACTTTTCCGGCCTATTCAAGGAAGGAAGGTGCCCTACCCCCCCCTTCCCCCTACCCACGCACGTGTTCCTATGATTCTAGGAGCCCTGCGTAGAACATGGGGGTTTCCGAAAATAGGGGGACCCTGATATAGTTCCCAACAGAAAACACCCAAAACACATGGTTTTTTGTTTTCCATCAGAAATCAAAAGAAAAACACAAGGTTTTTTTGGTTTTTCACCAGAAACACAGCGGAAACAAAAAAACAACATTATGCTTCTTTTTTGGTTTTCCACCGAAAATCGAAAAAACACTGCTTTGTTGACGCAAAACCCAGAAAACAAAAAGAACACCTAGGAAAACCAAAAATCCAAAAAGTTTCGGGCCCCTCAGAAAGATATTGGATTTTCGGCTATTGGGTTTTTTGGTTTCCGCCGAAGCACCACAAAACCAACAATCCGAAACCTGTGTGAGGGGCCCGAAACTTTTGGAGTTTTTGGGTTTCCTAGGGTCTTTTTGGTTTTCCAACAGAAAACCAAAAAAACACATGGCCTTTTTGGTTTTCCATCAGAAATAAAAGACACAGGGCTTTTTTGGTTTTGCACCAGAAACACAGCGGAAACAAAAGAACAACATTACGCTTCTTTTTTGGTTTTCCACCGAAAATACAAAAAAAAACATGGTTTCGTTAAGGCAAAACCCAAAAAACAGAAAGAAACCCATGAAAACCAAAACATCCAAAAGTTTCCGGCCCCTCAGAAAGATATTGGATTTTCGGATTTTTGTTTTTTTGGTTTCCGCCGTGGTTTCGTATGGTCTCTATTAATGTTTCTTGCTTATGCGTACAGGCAAATTAATATTGAAGCGGACAAGCAGACATGACTTCAGATCAGCCAGGATAAATATGCAAAACCAAGCCTTTCCCAAGAGGAGGTATCATCCATGAAACGTATGCCAACCACGAATCCCTTCCAAGAGAAGGGTTTGACGGTATTTACAGTGGAAAAGAGGCCGAGGTAGGTCAGGGGGGGGTGTCCATATATATATATATATATATATATATATATACACACACACACACGAACACCACACATATTCATGCAAAAGATTTCTGACACAGATAATTTTGCATAGTAGTCGTTGTCTATGTGTTTGTGATGGTATGTATATGTATGTAACATGTATAATATATATATATATATATATATATATATATATATACATACAAATGCTGTATGTATTTGGATAAACAATAACTTACCATACTACAAACCAACATAATTAGTGGTCTAATTAGCATATGTATACGTATAAGTGTCTGTATGTGTACTCCTTCTCTCTTGCTTTCTTCCTTCCTTCCTTCCTTCCTTCTTCCTTCCGTTCTGCCCTTCCTTGCTGCCTTCGTTCGTTCATTCCTTCCTTACGTCCTTCTTTCCTTCCCCTGCCTTCCGTCTCTTCCTTTCTTATTCTTTCTTTCCCCGTGGGCGAAAAAAAGAGGGCCCCCCTAAGAAAGGGATTAGGGCAGAGAAACGAAAAAGCAGAAAAACAGAAAGGCAAAAGCAGAAGCAAAAGGAAGCAGACAACGGGAAGCAAACAAGCAAAACGCAAAAAGCAGGGCAGGAAAGCGGAACAGCAGAAAAAACGAAAAGCAGAAAAGCTGAAAAGAAAATACGTAAAAGCATGAGCAAGAACAAGCAGTTCCTGCTCTGAAGCGGAACAGCGCGGCAGCGCAGAAGCACAAAAGCAAAAGCGGACGAGCCCCCCCCCCCAAAAAAAAAATGCAAAAAAAAACATAATTCCCACAAGCAATTGCCATCCTATTCTTAAGTCCCGAAACAGCTGAAGCACACTGAAACCTAAAAGGGATATGACGAGAGACGTGTACTCCTCCGCATCGGTCAGCTGGCATGGAGTGAAGCTCTTGTAGGGGTTCGGAGGGTTTTACGTCAGTTTACAAGCTCTAAAGATGTGTTACTCAGGGTGTTATGGGGTTCTAACGATTTTCGTGCGATTCGACAACAGTGAATTTGGAGCTTAGGGCTTAAAGGCTTCAGGGTCTTGAGGTAGGCTAAGATTTCATTAAGGCTTCAAAGTCTCACAACTTGAAGATGCTTCTCGATGTAGAACATGTGGATTCCATGTCACCTGGCACTTGCAAGCCTTTCCCGGCAACCGGTAAGCCGTGAATAGACCGAACTGGAATGGAAGCCTTCGGAAGAAAGAAATTTGCATTAACACTGGTTCTGGCATAGTACCCGCCCGAGTCCATGTATCAGACATGACGCCGGATTCAATCGATGCAAGATTTCAACTCGCACCCATACGAAACCCCTCAAACCCAAAATCCCGCAGCACCAGACCATAAACCGTAAGGGCGGTGAAACCCTGAGGTAGCTCGGGCTCTGAGAACCGAGACACTTCCTCCTATGTGGTCCAATGTTTCAACTTCTTGGCTTCCATGTCACAGTTCAGTGCCATTGGTCTCGTTACAGGGATCAAGCGATCTGAACCCTGCCCCGCACCCTCCCGAACCCCGAAACGTTTAACCCTAAGTCCTAACCCGAACAGCCCGAAAACCGCCAACCCCCTCTTGCAGGCCCAGGGGCGTCTTGCTTGGCGGAGGAGTCCACCTGTGCACATGACCCTGCCTCCCGAACCGTGCCCAACTAATGCCCCTAAATGACAAACTACAAGACGAGACAAGTCGCCCGGGACCCTGGCCTAACCCCACTGAAGCTTAGAACCAGCCCCCCGAACCCCAGAAACCCGAATGAGACCCCAACCCCGAACTACGGGAGAGGCCTTTTGCCAACAAACCAAAAGCCTCGATTTGTGCGGTCATCCTTGCAGCAGGGGCAATCTGTCATCCTTGCGACAGGGGCCATGCTTGCTTCGGTTTCACACTGATTACAAAGAGTCTCCCTCCTTTCGGAGGCTAAGCACGGATTCTCCGAACGACATCGGAGCTGTAGCAGAAAGAACATTGTCGTGGAGATCCTGAGCCGTAGCAGTGGAATCCTTATGCCAGTGGCCGCGTCTACCGCAGCCTGCGCAATACGATCGTGCTTTAGCAATGGCAAGCTTGTCTTCGATGGATTGCTTCTGGGAGTCGTCGGAGTTGCCCTTCTTGAGTTCCCTAAGCACGTTGGGATCAACCCCCCTAGCCTTAGAGATTTCTCTGTATTTGGCTTTGGCCGTTTCTTGTGCAACATATGCTTCGTACATAGCAGCTGCTTCTTCTTCTGGTACACAATCATCGTCACCGTCGGGAGCCACCTCGGTATCATCATCATCACCCTCGTCAACACCCGTGAGGAAGGAAGCCTTGACACCCTTGGGACCTTTGTTGTTATCGAAGAAGTTGTTCTTGCGAGGCTGCCATGGAGGTTTGAGCTATTTCTCGTGAAGAACTGCGGCTCTCTGAAGCTTGGCAACATTGTACTCATTTCCAACCGATGCAAGCAAAGCCAACTCCTCGGAACTGCTCAAACTCAAAGCGCTCAAGTAAGCCCAGGCCTTCGCCACCTCGGGCAACTTGCAATCGATTTCCAAGAGTCGGGAATGACTCCGATCAAATGCAGAATTGAACTCCCTGATGGTCTGACCCTGTTGTCTCTTCAGGCGCTTGAAGAACGATGTAAGGCTTTCCGCTATCTTGGAGACTTCAACCTCAAGGTATCTCTCCTGTATCCAAGTACGGAACATGGCTAGCCCACCGTCTCCGCCCAAGGATTCAACGTTCAACTCTTCTGATTCAACCCATGCTCTGCCCGACAAGTGTTGATAAAGGAGTAGAGCCTGCTGATTCTTAGGCGTGCGTGTGATTTTGCACCAGGCATCCACCTGGCGCAAGTACGATCTCGCACTCACTCCGAGCTCGTCACCCGTGCTCTGGGCATCGAATGCTGGGACTGCCATCTTTTCACTGAATGAACCCTTGGATCAGAGGAATTGGGAGCCTGTGTCGAAGTATCCCAAGTCCAAGCTCCTGAGGAATTCCAAGAAGCCCTGCGATTATAGCCCGAAGCCTCACCCTCGTTGCCCGCTGCCTCATGCTGCGGATGCTCTTCAGAGCGAGTGCCTGAGCCACTATCGTCATCTGCTGCAGCACCGGCACCGGTGCCGTTGGAGAAATCGCCACCATCTGCATTCCACTCAGTCCTATAACCCCAAGACCAGTGATGACGGTAGCCGTACGGGCGATACCACCCTGCCCACTGCCAACGATCCCCTCGACTCCAGCCGGAATCCCAATCCCAACTCTCATTCGCATGATCTTCAGCTGCTTGGTTCGCACTGTCCGTCGGGGGCACGCTGTAGTAAGAAGTAGGTTCAGCCCCGACAGAAGACGCCATCAGGCGCACGGATCCTAGGACCCTGAAGGACACAGCCCTGAACACGAGGAACCACGAGAGCACAGACACCGCAAACCACACAGAAAGGAACCCCGAACGCGGCCCGGGCTCCGCTACCAATGACAAACTACAAGACGAGACGAGTCGCCCGGGACCCTGGCCTAACCACACTGAAGCTTAGAACCAGCCCCCCGAACCCCAGAAACCCGAATGAGACCCCAACCCCGAACTGCGGGAGAGGCCTTTTGCCAACGAACCAAAAGCCTCGATTTGTGCGGTCATCCTTGGAGCAGGGGCAATCTGTCATCCTTGCGACAGGGGCCATGCTTGCTTCGGTTTCACACTAAACCCTAAACCCTGCTGGAATTGAGGAGCGCATCCTAACCTTGTAAACCCTAACTCTGCCATGGTATTTTCAGAGGGCGCCCTGCGGCTCCGAGCCGGAGGATTCGCTTGCCTCTTCAAATTCTTTGATCCCTAACTAAACGGTGGAATAAACCTTTTCCTCCCCAGATATGGAAGTTATATACCTACAGAGTATAATATGCAAAATATGTAGCAAAGGTGCAACACTTGCCCAGACTGGTTAAGTCGATTAGGTGGTGCCAGCCGCTCTCTCCAAACGAAGCCGGCAAAAAACTGACAAAATCGGTACATCACGATCAAAGAGTCGCCGAAGAGAAAGTCAATGCGGCAACGACCACATTGGTGAAGTACAGGTCACACATGTTGAGCATAGTTGAAGATGCCCGCGTCGACGACATTGGCATAGGAGCTTGTGTACGACAGCGTTCAGGAAGGTCAACTGTAGTTGCTACGCCACCAAAGGTGGGATTGATCACGACGTTCACGGTCTTCCTGACGATCCTTGCCGTTGCCCTTCCAAATCAGCTGGTTGGTGTTCCCTTTTCCAAGTGGTGGTCCAGATGGTTCAGGAGGTCGCATCGATGAAGAACGTCGGCCCCAACTTGATTGCGAAGGATAGTGTGAGAGCCGCCCCTGTGCTCGGCTTCTGTGAGGTGAGTAAGCGCATGGGTATGCCTCGGTGCGGTGTTGGTCCTCATCGCTACGTTGTTCTTAGTCAGCTTGTCGAAAAACCTTGTGGGTGAGGCGATGTTGTTGCTCACCAGCACCTTCAGCGTCAAAGCAGTTGTGTTTTTGACACCGGCGATCATGATCACACCAATCGGGTCAATGTAAAAGTGCTCATTCTGTAGCTTGTGAGGTTCTCGCAGATTTGCAAAGTACTGTTGTCCGCTAGTCTTTGCGATCACGTCCGACAGGAGTGCGTAGAATGTTGCATGCATCTCACGTGGCTCCCGTTGAGGTACGTATCGGGGTCGAAAGCCTGGCGACCGTGACCCATCTGCAGTGCTCCTCGTGCAAGAAGTGATACGATCTGATTGGCGCGGAACTTGCGGAACATGACTTGGCCATCGGGATCTTCTCGATCTTGTCGATCGATGCAGTAGTCACGCAATTCGTCGTCAGATACGTCTCTGCTGATCTTTGTTGCTTCGTCAATCTGATGAAGCCCAGGCCACTTTCCGAGAACGTCGTAGCGACTGTTGTCATTGGACATCCTCTGCATATCATCGAATGGCATTGTAGTCCACTTTGTGAGCGTTGCCCACGGCTTGTCGATGGTCTGCCCGACGATAAAGTAAATGCAAGTGAAAGTGGTGGATTTGGTTCGAGGCATCGCGATGGTTGTGCATGAGGATAGTGTGGGACTTGAATGGCCGTACGTATGCATGTCGAGTCGGCATCGATCAGTAGCGTACAAGCGTTGGTAACAATGCCACTGGGGAAAGAAAAAATCACGAAAAAAAGGAACCACAATGGCGACTATAGGTAAGACTCAGGATAATGTATAGGGAGTCCCAGAACTATTTGGTCTTAATCCGGCTTCCAACTTTATGGGATTTACTATAATGAAGGAACCTGATTAAGCAAGCCTGGCCCCATAGCCCCCAAGATTTCCTAATCAGGTTCTCATATCAACGTAGGAACCTGATTCAGAAACCTTGGGCCTGTAACCCCAAAACGGTAGGATTCATATACGGAACCCTAATAGAGGCCCAAGATTTCTTAGTCAGGTTCCTTTGTAGGGGGTTTCGAGCTTGTGCTGTTAGTACAATGATGCCACATTTCAAATTACTGTTTAGGATTTGAGGTCAGCTTGAGGAGCCACCACCTGCTTTCGGGAAGCCTGACGTAGGCAGAGCTGCCCCTTTGCGTGAGCGAGTGGGATGCTGCGCGATCTTTTCCCGACAACCTTAAACCGCGGATCCTGAACCTCATGGAGGAAAAAGCAGCTGAGTGCATAGTTCTGGCTGTATGCGTCTGTGAACGCTACAGACATTGTTGCAGTCCCGCAGGATGCGACAAGACATTCAAGTTATTATCAATACTTGAAGGATCATGGGGCTTAGTAAGTAGGTTATAATTGGGGCTATAAGTCCCCTAAGTGGGGTTATCCTAATTATAACCTACTTATAACCTTACTTACTAAGTCCCATGAGCCTTCAAGTAAGCCCGCAAACCGTTTTAATATGCCTGCGCTCCAGAAGTCTAAGTCTCGAGGGTTCTAGCTACTTGGAGGCTCGGGGGACCTTAGTAACTGGTTATTTTAGGGACTTATAGGTACCATAACCCCAATTAGGGTCCCCTTTAGGGTACTTATAAGTCTACTCACTAACTACTTGCTAAGTCCCCCGACCGTCCAAGTACTGGCCTGACAATCTACCAAGAACCTCAACTTCCAAAACCCTCTTCACTAGACCCTGGGCAAATCAAACATTTCGGGCCATAGAAAGGCCACGGCTTTGTTCTTCGTACTGTGGTTCTGCTGTGATCCTGGGTTCTTGCTAAGGCATTTCACTTAAGTTACGATAATAAGCAAACCATAGTATTTAATATAGATCCTAAGTTATAGTAAACTCGTTAACGAGAACCCAGTATTCCTGAACTCTCTTCAACGGCGCGTCTAAATATGTAGGCCTCTACCTAAATCCTGACTTGTGGAATCTTTTGGTGGCGACCAAGCTCTGAAGTTAAGATCCTAAACCAAGCAAATGCCCTATCTACTTGGAGGGTCGGGGGAACTTAGTAACTGGCTATTTTAGGGACTTATAAGTACCATAACCCCAATTAGGGTCCCTTTTAGGGTACTTATAAGTCTACTTACTAACTACTTACTAAGTCCCCCGACCCCCCACGCAAGCTCTAAAGTTAAGATCCTAAACCAAGCAAATACCCTATCTAGAAAAGCGGCACTGCAGCTCCGGGTCAACCTGGGGAGATTCATACCCTTTTGCGGGCTTAGCGCTCATGAATGCTTATTAAGGGTCTACGGCACAAGTGCTGATATGTGCTTTTGCTTTGGGTCAACGACTGTCTAGTGAAATGTGGTCATCGTCGTCGGCATAAATGCGCGAAGCTGTTATGATAGCTTCTACTCTTATGTTTTTATTCGCGTAAACAACCCATGATTATGATTGCACTACCTCCGTTCAGGATTGGTGGCTTCGTTTTCGGCGGTTTGGGCCCAGAGACGTCACCTTCATTGAGGGGCCTGGACCCTAAACCCTAATCTAGATACAGTATTATCTACTATGATGTCCCCCAAAACCCGATTCCAATTATTGAGGCCCCCAAACTACATTCCTAAGCCAAGCGCGAACGAATCTTGCACACTATCGGCTGCTGCATCCCAGCCCCTGCTCCATTACATCGCAGGATCCACCAAACGGTACCTGGAGCGATAAGCACTCCCCTACATTGTCACGAAGATGTATCGGCGGCCCATCCAGACGGACACCAGAAGCATGCAAAGAAGACAGTTTCAAAATTGATGCCAAATTACAAATGAGAATGCACCGCAGCACTGGCTACGGATGCAGGATCTAGAGTTTAGAAGCTGGGGATTTCGGGACTTGGGCAACACTACATACGTAAAAGAGCCTGCTGAACCATTATCCGCCGATCCCCTTCGACAGAGCGCAATTGGGCTGCTTGTGAAGCCAGGGTGTATCATTTTGCATCGAACTCAAAACAAAACCACCCTTCAGCTACTAAAACCCTAGATAAGCAACACAAGTGCCAAAACCTGAACCCCCGAAAATCCTGACACCTCAAACCCTAAACCCCTCAAAATCCCGCGTGCATCTCAGCTTGAGGCGGCCTTCCGGAAGGGTCCAGTCAAGTCATGCAATCAAATACAGCTCAAATGACTCCATGGCGTGACATCTGGCGCCCAGAGAAGACTCCAAACTCCCTTAATTAAGGGAATGTACCTTAAAAAAAGTAGGATCTCCAAGATAAGTTGAAGTAGATTCCTGAGTTAAGGGATTTTGGAGTCTCTGGGCACGAAACCTCTCCCGGCCAGAGGTTGTTGTGAAACCGGACGAGAGATTCAAGAACGGAGGCCGGCCGAGACTCTGGAGGACGGGAAGCCCAGAGACCCCGATATCCTTTAAAGGAACACGGTTTAGGGTTTAGGGTTTAGGGTTTAGGGTTTAGGGTTTAGCTGCTCCGGATCGAGCAGTTTTAAAGTAGAGTTGTATTTACGGTTTAGAAATAACACCCACCCACCCTTTGAATCCCATAACATAAGCCATATAAAGTCCTTCATCATCATTCAGAGAATTGTACCTACAACCTAGCCTGTCACACTTTAATGTCGCCTTCCCGCACCACTAGGAAAATACAACAGTTCATATTGCTCCCACAGCTGATTTAATTATTTAAGGTTGTCGAGCTTAGACCTCCACCTGCACCTATGAATGGATTTGTTAACCTATTGTTTCGCTTATGACGGATGACCCATAGTCTTCCCAAGGCAAAAATCCCAGGACAGTTATCTGAGACGGATGACCCATAGTCTTCCCAAGGCAAAAATCCCAGGACAGTTATCTGAGACGGATGACCCATAGTCTTCCCAAGGCAAAAATCCCAGGACAGTTATCTGAGACGAATGACCCATAGTCTTCCCAAGGCAAAATCCCAGGACAGTTATCTGAGACGGATGACCCATAGTCTTCCCAAGGCAAAAATCCCAGGACAGTTATCTGAGACGGATGACCCATAGTCTTCCCAAGGCAAAAATCCCAGGACAGTTATCTGAGACGGATGACCCGTAGTCTTCCCAAGGCAAAAATCCCAGGACAGTTATCTGAGACGGATGACCCATAGTCTTCCCAAGACAAAAATCCCAGGACAGTTATCTGAGACGGATGACCCATAGTCTTCCCAACACAAAAATCCCAGGACAGTTATCTGAGACGGATGACCCATAGTCTTCCCAAGACAAAAATCCCAGGACAGTTATCTGAGACGGATGACCCATAGTCTTCCCAAGGCAAAAATCCCAGGACAGTTATCTGAGACGGATGACCCATAGTCTTCCCAAGGCAAAAATCCCAGGACAGTTATCTGAGACGGATGACCCATAGTCTTCCCAAGGCAAAAATCCCAGGACAGTTATCTGAGACGGATGACCCAAACCCTAGGCCCTAAACCCTAAAGCCCAAACCCTTAAACAGGGTGACCTTAAACGACGAAGGGTGACCTTAAACGACGAAGGGTGACCTTAAACGACGAAGGGTGACCTTAAACGACGAAGGGTGACCTTAAACGACGAAGGGTGACCTTAAACGACGAAGGGTGACCTTAAACGACGAAGGGTGACCTTAAACGACGAAGGGTGACCTTAAACGACGAAGGGACGAAGGGTGACCCTAAGGGCAGGCCCCCAGCCCTAAACCCTAAAGGCAGGCCCCAAGCCCTAGACCCTAAACCCTACAGGCAAGGGTGACCTTAAACGACGAAGGTTTGACCTTAAACGACGAAGGTTTGACCTTAAACGACGAAGGTTTGACCTTAAACGACGAAGGTTTGACCTTAAACGACGAAAGTTTGACCTTAAACGACGAAGGTTTGACCTTAAACGACGAAGGTTTGACCTTAAACGACGAAGGTTTGACCTTAAACGACGAAGGTTTGACCTTAAACGACGAAGGTTTGACCTTAAACGACGAAGCTGGGGGCTCAGACCTTCGTCGTTTAAGGTCAAACCTTCGTCGTTTAAGGTCAAACTTTCGTCGTTTAAGGTCAAAAACCCGGGGGTGACCTTAAACGACGAAGGTTTGACCTTAAACGACGAAGGTTTGACCTTAAACGACGAAGGTTTGACCTTAAACGACGAAGGGCCTGACCTTAAACGACGAAGGCATTAGGGTTTAAATCTATATATGATAGAGAGGTTTAGGGTTTAGGGTTTAGGGTTTAGGGTTTAGGGTTTGCCGTAGAGTAGCGCGTAGGCGAAAGTAATTTGCGACAAGGTCGTGTCAAGTGCGTTGTACTACTGCGAGTAGCTGCGAAAGCCTGATCATGGAAGGCTTTTCCTTTCTTCCTATCCCACCCCACGCCGTATGAGGCGGCCAAGCCACCCAAACCTATTCCTTTTAGGGTTTAGACCTAAACTCAGTTAGGTCCCTCTTGGCCTCAATCTTCCCCCTTCTGACCATCAAACTTCTGCGGGCCAGGGCAGGGCAGGGAGGGCAGGGCAGGGCAGGGCAGGGCAGGGGAGGGCAGGGGGAGGGGCAGGCCAGGGGGGGCATTTTCGAGGAGGCAAAAGGGCACCAGGGGTTCAACCACAGGGTTTAGGGTATTGACTTTATTAAGGGACCAGTACTGGTCCCGAGGAGAACGTGTTCCGGTACCGGGCAAGCCGCGGGCGCTGCCGTCCGGGTCGCTCTGCGCCATCGAGGTCGAGGGGCTTAAGCGCCGCCCACCCACAGTAGGTGGGCGGCCTATGCCTTGAGTTTAGGGTTTAGGGTTCCTTCAAGGTTCCTTTAAGGGATCTATAGGGCTTAGGGTTTAGGGTTTGTGGCGGCTCCAATATCCCTTAATCAAGGAATATACCAGAAAATGTATATAGTCGGATCCCGAAACCCTAAACCTGAAACCCAAAAAACCCTAAACCCTGAGTTAGGGAGCTAAGGGTTTAGGGCTTACCTGGACCCGAAGCAACCTTGTTTAGGGCTCCCTTATATGATCTTTTTATATACGTCCTTCAACAAGTAGGTCTGCTGGTGTTAAGGTAAGGCAAATTAGTTCAGGGTAGAATCAGGTTTTGGGGTGCATTGATAAGTAATCAGGCCCCTATAATGACCCCTAGACTCTCCGCCGGCCGCTTGAAACGGAACCCAGGAAACTTTGGGCGCTTTGCTGGCAGCTTTGCAGGCCAGCTGCGGGTGGAATACCTCGGGATTTCTGGTTTAAGGCTTTCGGGTTGAAGGTTTTCGCTTGAGGATGTAAGGCCGGGGAGTTTAGGGCATCGGGACATGGAGTTTCGGTCGGAAAATGAAAGATGTAGGTTTAAGTTCCTGGAGCATCATACGGGTTCTAACCACTGTAACTAGACTACGCACATTGTGCATGGCCACAGATGCATGACTTGATTTGTGGCTACCACTTGGTGCATCTTGGCCACAATAAGCCAATAGTTCATCCCATGAGCCTAGATCCCGGGAGAGTTCTCTAGCGCGTGCAACAACAGAGGGGTCTCTCAAGCGGGGTATGCAAAAGTACAAGGAACACGGTCCGGCAAGACTGTCCTTCATCGGCCTCTGCGTGTGTGTGTGTGTGTGTGTGTGTGTGTGTGTGTGTGTGTGTGCACGAGACTAAAATCCCTTGTAACACTAGCTCGGCGAAGTCATCGTAAGGCAGATCCTCCTAGACTCAGAAACTTGCTAGACTACAAGTTCTGTCGCAGTTCTCCGCAGCACCAACATTGCACCCTGCAGGAGTCCGGGAGAAACCCTGGTGAAACTCCACTGAAGCCTTCTTGGGGGGTCGGGGGACTTAGGAAGTAGTTAGTAAGTAGACTTATAAGTACCCTAAAAGGGACCCTAATTGGGGTTGTGGTACTTATAAGTCCCTAAAATAACCAGTTACTAAGTCCCCCAAACCCTAAACCCTAAACCCTTATAGAATCCCTATAGATCCCTCTAAAGGGGCCCTTAAGGAACCCCTTATAGTTACTAAGTCCCCCGACCCCCCAAGTTGTCCCTGTTTCTCATAAATCCCAGCCTCTTTTGTCTCAGCTACCGAGCCCCCAAAATCGAGACCCAGAACCCAGATAGGTTTTAGGGTTTAGGGTTTAGGGGTTTAGGGTTTAGGGTTTAGGGAGAGTTCTCCCCCCGAATCCTTAAACCCCTCGCCCACAACTTAAGGGCTTATCTCTGAACACAAACTGGAGCCGCAGTGCCCACCCTCCTTTCTAGACAACGGTCACCTCTGGCATGCCGACTTCCTGCGGCTGGGTTTGGGGTTCAGTCTGAGCATTTAGTGAGGATTTGGGTTGTGGCAGTATAACCACTATGGGCTATTAGACCTTATGGGTACCTTAATCTACCCTTAATAGGGTCCTAATAGGGATCTTTAGGGTCTAAATCGCCCATCGTGGAAAGTTATTACGACTTCTTCCTGGACGCTAGGACGTTCTTATACATGCTTTCATCGGCTTCAGATGGATGGTTGTCAGAATTAGGGTCCCCTTTTGGGTCCCTAGTTGAAATAATTTTGACAACAACGCACCTTTTGCTCTAAGTTCCACCCCTTAATGGGGAGTTCCTATAAAGTACCCTTAGTAGTGGAGGGCCCAAAATTCGGGGATCTACTTTCTACGGCTCGGAGGTTCGATCACCGCCCCCCACTCCGAAATCCCTCGGCTTCAGATGACGATTGAACAGAGACGTTTCGGTTTCGCTGCAGTTGGGGACTTCGGGTTTCGCGAACCCAAAACCCTCAGGAAAGTAAAACCCCTAAACCCTGATTAAACCCTAATCAAACCCTAATTAAACCCTAAATAAACCCTAATTAAACCCTAATTAAACCCTACCTAAGCCCTAACTAAACC